AGATCAGAGACCATTCTGAGACTCAGTGCAGAGAAGATAGAATGAATGGAGGATACTGAATTGAGAGCCCACCAAGGAGATGGGATCAGCAAACCAACTACAAAGAATCCAACTAATGGGTAGCAAACAAGGAGAGGCTAGCAGGTGATGAGGGAAAGCCAAGACAGGAGCTCTCACAGTAGAGAGCTGTAGGGGGAGGAAAACTCTGTCTTCTCTTCCTGATGAGAAAGCTTACTTTGCCAATTGCCCTTCCCACCCCCTTTCTAAAGTTCCCCAGCAAAAGAGAGTCCATTGCTAATTGGGTGAGTCAGAGTCCAGACATCACCTGGCCAACCTTATTTGGTGGACATGATAAATGTTGGTTTTAAAGCTGGGACCCTCATTGCCCTCTCTTTTTGTGACTTTGTTCTTTTAATATGGGACAGGCCAGAGGTAATAGCCTGAGATTTGGTTGCAGCCTCCAAAGGGCAGTACTTGAGTCTGATCAGTATATACTGATCTTCATGGTTTCTTGGTATGATGATTAATGGCAGACCCTTTCATTCACTCATTTTTATTCTACAAAGTTTCCCAATTTGGACAATAAATCATGGTCATCCAAGAGCTAAACCATGTCATCAAACTCATCTTCAGCAGAGGGCTTGAATCAGGGTGCCAACTTAGTTAATGATGAGATACAATTGGCAAGTTCCATTTCCTAACAGGCTACTACTGTTCCTTGCATGGATCTCCTTTGGGAATTCAGCATGGAAGAAGTGGGATTAGCAGAGCAGGAGTCAGTCTTTCTGGATCCTTGGTCAGAATATTTCATTTCTAATATAGGGCAAAAGGAGTGATTCTCTACCGAATTGGGAGGCCCGATAATTAAATGGGAGCAACGGATGGAAATAAGAACATTCAAGCCGAGGCATGGTGGCTCGCACCTGTAATTCCAACACTTCGGGAGACTGAGGCAGGCGGATTACCTAAGGACAGGAATTTGAGACCAGCCTTGCCAACATGGCAAAACCCAGTCTCTACTAAAAATACAAAAATTAGCTGAATGTGCTGGTGCACGCCTGTAATCCCAGCTACTTGGGAGGCTGAGGCAGGAGAATCACTTGAACCTGGGAGGCAGAGGTTGCAGTGAGCCTCGATTGCACCACTGCACTCCAGCCTGGGCAGTAGAGTGAGACTCTGTCTCAGAAAAAAAAAAAAAAGAAAGAACATTCAAAAGGAACAGTCTTGGAAAGAATGAGAAACAATGCTTTCAGTTGGGAGTGGGTAGAGGCCATGAAGAGGGAGCCATCATGCTGTGTCCTAAACTAGAACCCTCTGCATATGTGGCGGGCCCAGAAAAGAGGAAGGAGACTCTAGAAAGACCCAGTATGCCTACGAGTATAAGCCTACTAAGTCTCTCTGTTTCTCGTTGTTCCACCCAAATTTTACTGCGCCAAAGAGCAGACAAGGAGGAATATAGGAGAGAAAGCATGAGGCATAAAAGACACTAATATAGGGCCGGGTGCAGTGGCTCAAGCTTATAATCCCAGCACTTTAGCACACTGAGTCGGGTGGATCATCTTTGGTCGGGAGTTCAACACCAGCCTGACCAACATAGAGAAACCCCGTCTCTACTAAAAACACAAAATTAGCCAGGCATGGTGGCGCATGCCTGTAATCCCAGCTACTTGGGAGGCTGAGGCAGGAGAATTACTTGAACCTGGCAGGCAGAGGTTGCAGTCAGCCGACATCACGCCTTTGTACTTTAGCTTGGGCAACAAGAGCAAAATTGCGTCTCAAAGAAAAAAAAAGACACTAATATAGTGTTACAAAGTCCAAGTCTATCCATTAATCACAATGTATGCAAACATAGCGCTTCCTTATTAAAAGGAAGGAGGGAGACAAAGAAGAGATTTTTTGCAAGAGACTTACCTATAATAAAACCAAACAATAAAAAAGGTTGAAAAGAAAAGAAGAGAATGAAAAAGGTATACCGAGAAAGTTCTAACAAGAAAATTATTAATATGAGACAAAACAGACTGTAGAATTATTAATATGAGACAAAACAGACTGTAAGGCTAAGCATTTAATGGGGATAGAATGGAATATTTCATATTCATAAAAAATGAACAATCAATCCCTAAGTTGTTGAACAATATGCAAGTCAGGAAACCTAGAAGTTACTCTTTTTTTTTTTTTTTTTTTATCTTTTTGAGATGGAGCTTTGCTCTTCTTGCCCAGGCTAGAGTGCAGTGGTGCAATCTCGGCTCACTGCAACCTCTGCCTCCCAAGCTCAAGTGATTCCCCTGCCTCAGCTTTCCAAGTAACTGGGATTATAGGCATGCACCACCATACTTGGCTAATTTTATATTTTTAGTAGAGATGGGGTTTCACCGTGTTGGCCAGGCTGGACTCAAACTCCTGACCTCAAGTGATCCACCTACCTCAGCCTCCCAAAGTTCTGGGATTCCAAGAGTGAGCCACCACACCCAAGCAGAAGTTACTCTTAATTCTCCACCCTCTCACATCTAAAACATCAGCAAATCCAGTTTATTCTTCTTCTAAAATACATTGTAAATCCACTCATTTCTTTGAATCTCCACAGCACCTCACCCCTGGTCCTGGCCACCATCTTCTCTCAAATGTAATACTGCAATGATGCCCTAATTGGCCTCCTGACAACCTCAAATGGGTTAACCTGGCCAACATGGTCTTCAGAGGGCAGGCCTCTGCCCAACTCTGACTGCACCTCTGACACTGTCACTCTCATCCAGGCACCGTGGCCTCCTTTCTGTCACCTGATCAGCCCACTCATTTTCACCTCGAGCCTTTGCAGCAACTTTTTCCCCTGCCTGGAATGCTCCTCTCTCACACCTTCAGGGGCATAGCAGTCTTTTAAATTTCAATTTTTAGTTTAAATGGCACCCCCTAAGAAAGGAGGGTGAAATTTTTCAACACTTGTTAATACAGAAGCATAAGAATTACTGTAATTGCCTTCTAACCTATTTGTTTCCTTTATAAATAAACTTCTGATGGCAGAGGCTACTAATATTAATCTTTGAAATCTTGAATTATGTAGAAAACAGAAAACTGAGAGGCTGGGCCCCATGGCTCATGCCTGTAATCCAGCACTTTGGGAGGCTGAGGCGGGAGGATTACTTGAGGCCAGGAGTTTGAGACCAGCCTGGGCAACATAGTGAGACCCCTTCTCTACAAAAAATACAAAAATAAGCTGGATGTGGTGGTGCACGCCTGTAGTCCTAACTATTAAGAAGGCTGAGGAGGGAAGACAGCTTGAGCCCAGGAGGTCGAGGACGCAGTGAGCTATGATTGCACCACAGTACTTCAGCCTGGGTGACAGAGTGAGACCCTGTCTCAGAGAGAGCGTGAACAAATGGGGGTCTGGGAGAACACTAAGGATTCTCCTTCAAATCTTTCAATTTATTTCTCTGCAGACCGTTCACATCTTGAGATTTTCTCTTATATTTACTTGTTTTATCTCCACTAGATGGCGCTTCTATCCTCTTCGTGACTCTGTTTTCAGGACCCTGGACAGTGCCTGGTGTATAGTAAATGCTCAGTAACTACTGAATGATTTGTCGGAAACTTACATGTACCCTGAACCTAACGGCACAGATTCAAAATATAGAAAGCAAACAGATTTACAAAAAGAAATAGACGAGTGTGAGACCAATCCACCCCCGCTTAGAAACATACTAGGCAAATTCAAAACAACAAAGAACTTTAAATGCAAAAGTAAAACGAGTGCTTCTACCATCTATATTTCTGAATTATTTTTTCACAATCTATATGTATTGCTTTGATAAATGGGATTAAATTTTACTTTATGTTCCATCCTCAAATAGTAAAATATTTTAATATGGTTCTAAGGAGCTGGTCAAACCTGTTCATGGATGTAAAGTGCACAAGATGGAAGATGACAGGAAGGGGGATAACATTAGGATTATATTTAGGGTTATTCCATATTTTTTTGAGATGGAGTCCTGCTCTGTCACCCAGGCTGGAGTGCAGTTGCATAATCTCGGCTCACTGCAACCTCCACCTCCCAGGTTCAAGCAATTCTCCTGCCTCGGTCTCCCAAGTAGCTGGGATTACAAGCATGCACCACCACACCCAGCTAATTTTTGTATTTTTAGTAGAGATGGGGTTTCACCATGTTGGCCAGACTGGTCTCAAACCCTTGACCTCAGGTGATCTGCCCACCTCGGCCTCTCAAAGTGCTGGGATTACAGGTGTGAGCCACTGCGCCTGGTCTGTTTCAGGTTATTCGAAAAATCATAACTCCATAGATTTAAAAAGGTTCTATACGTGGCTAGTAACCCCTTCTGTAGCTGAGACTGACTACAAACCTCCTTCTGCCACCCAGCATGACCAGAACTGTGTTCTGTGAGGGTCAGGGTTTACTGGACAGTATGAGGTGACATGCCAGGCTGAATTCTCTCCCTACAGTAAACACTACTCTATAATAAAGTGACAGGAAGATCTGACCTAAATGCCCTGCAGAGCTTCATTTCTCCCATCTAATTTTGTAAAGAAAAAAAAAGTCTGTGTGTGCTTGTATGTATTTTTTTAGCATTACTCCTTAATTAATTAATTTATTTATTTATTTAGAGACGGAGTTTCGCTCTTGTTACCCAGGCTGGAGTGCAATGGCACGATCTCGGCTCACCGCAACCTCCACCTCCTGAGTTCAGGCAATTCTCCTGCCTCAGCCTCCTGAGTAGCTAGGATTACAGGCACGCGCCACCATGCCCAGCTAATTTTTTGTATTTTTAGGAGAGACAGAGTTTCACCATGCCGACCAGGGTGGTCTCGATCTCCTGGCCTCGTGATCCGCCCGCCTCATCCTCCGAAAGTGCTGGGATCACAGGCTTGAGCCACCGCGCCCAGCCTACTCCTTAATTTAAATGTCTATTAAAAATACTAAAGCTTAACTGGTTATCTTTGAAATATAATTTCTTTTCATTTTCTTCTTTTAATTATTTCTATTTTCTCACATTTCTACAATAATAAGTACAACTTAGGTGGCAAAGAAATGATATAAATATACATGGTATCTGCCAAATCAAATTATCTGGATGAGCTGATGCCCACCCAAGGGGCAAGCTGGAGAAAGGAGGGTGCTGCTGACTTCTGGTTCATTTCTCATTCTTTCTGAGCAATGGTAAGGCCAGGGGCTGGACAGTGGGCTATTGGACAGCACTCCAGACTTGGGCCAATGCACTTGGTACTTCCATCAGGAGAGTAGTTGGCAGCTGATCCCTCCATCCACAGTATCCTTTGGGCACCTATGTTGATCAGTGTAAGAGATAAGGCAACATAAATACACTTTCTCATAACTTGTCATCGGCACTAGATTTAACAGCAGCACCAGTGATTCTGTAGTGCCCTCCAAGCCCTGGAGCAGGCTAACTTATTTTTTTTTAATATGGAGTTTCGTTCTGTTTCCAGGCTGGAGTGCAGTGGTGTGATCTCAGCTCAGTGAAACCTCTGCCTCCCAGGTTCAAGCTATTCTCCTGCCTCAATCTCCCAAGTAGCTGGGACTACAGGCATGCGCCACCATGCCCAGCTAATATTTGTATTTTTAGTAGAGACAGAGTTTCAGCATGTTGGCCAGGATGGTTTTGATCTCTCGACCTCATGATTCATCCACTTCGGCCTCCCAAAGTGCTGGGATTACAGGCATGAGCCACTGTACCTGGCTGGAGCAGGCTGATTTTAGGCATTTCTACAAAGCCAAAACCTAATTTTCTTTGTTCCCTCTCTTGACTCCACCCAGGGGTGCTTCGGAGACCCAGGTAAGTTAGTGGCATAGTTTGAAGGCCAGAAAATCAGAGAGCTGATGGTGTGGATTCCAGTTTGAATCTGAAGGTCTGAGTACCAGGATTTCCAATGGAGGGAGAAGAGCAACATCTCAACTCAAGGAGTCAAGCAAAGCAAGAACTCAACCTTCCTGTGCCTTTTTGTTCTTTCTATTGAGGCCCTCAATGTATCATGCCCACCCACACTGGGGAGGGTCATCTGCTTTATTTAGCTCACCAATTCAGATGCTAATCTCTCACAGACACATCCGGAAGTAATGTTTAACCAGATATGTGGGCACCCTCTGGCCTAGTCAAGTTGACACGTAAAATTAACCACCACAATGATGATAGATTAGTTTCCAAAATTCAACAAGTTCTCACATCTTGACCACTCCTGGACCTAGAAGTTAAGGCAAAACGATGAACCCTTTCCCTTTTTTTATGATTTTGAAAATTACATATACCATTAAGTTGGAATCTCATTTTAGAAACTTGGAGGTTTCCTGTGGAAGGGAGGTCAGAAAAGAATAGCTTGTACAGGAGTGAAGGAGTAAACCCAGCTCAGCCACAGAGGCCCATTCACTAACCCTTACTTGTAAGAGCTAATCTGTTTTCTTGTTCTTTCATTCAATATATGACCACTGGTGCCAGGCAATGTGCCAGTAGCTACAGAGAGCTGTAGAGTGTACTGGTGAACACGTAAATGCTGGCATCAGCCTTCTCTCATCTTATAATCTGTTTTTCTTCACAGTGTCTTTAATAATGGAAATTGTTTATCGTGTGTCTCTTCCACTGAAAGGTAAGCTGTATGAGAACAAGGCCTGTGATTTTCTTCATCACCACTCTATCCCTAGCACATAGTAAGTTTGCTTATGCAAAATGAGAGGATGACTGACTGACTGAGTGAATGGAGATCTGACTTGTATTCTCCTTGTTGCCACTGTGTAGGTGGAAAGACACTGGGACCACCCATCAGACTGGGGAACCCAGGAGGAATAGATTTATGGGGACAGGGAGATGAAGTCTGCAACTCCCTGTTTGGAGGATAATCAGTTGAAATGTTAATTGACTTAATTTCTTTCCTCTGTCCTGCCATGTATGTTTCCCTTACCAGTTCAGTTAGAGGCAGTTTGAGGAGAATTTGGCATTGTTACAGCAGGAATGCAAGAAGAATAAAACAATATTTAGTTCTGACATCTAAATAAGTTTCTTAAAACTTCACATGAGCCCAGGAGGCAGAGACTGCAGTGAGCCGAGATTGTGCCACTGCACTACAGCCTGGGCGACAGTCCGAGACTCCGTCAAAAAAAAAAATTAACATTAGAGTGGAAAGAAAATAATATAAGAGGAGATTTGATCTGGGACTGGGGAGAAACCTTAGGACCACAAAAGAAATGAGGAATCCTGAGGAGGGAGGACCTTTGTGAGGACTTTTTGAACAAAGCGAGGAGGTAGAACACAGATGTGGACTGTGCCCAGCTTTCTGCATGTGCACGCACCATCATCACCAGCTCATGAGTTTGTATCAGTGGCCCAAGACCACCACTTACAATTCAGGTGCACACTCCTATGGCCAGGAGCCATCTGTTGAGGGTCTTCCTTTGACAGCTGCCTGCAGCCTGCCCTTGGTCAACCAGCAGGGGAGAATTCATCTATGACCTAAGGTAGGCACAGCCCAACCAAACCACCCTAGGTGACAAACCACCTTTACAATAGTCTAGGTCTTCTCAAAGCCTAAACTAAGAACATGGCCCTGGTGTTCTGGAGAGCAAGCAGTTCTCAAAGTCTGATCTGGGGACTCCTGAAATCCCTTCAGGTGCTCCATGAAGCCCAATTTATTTTCACAATAATTTCACAAACTATTTTCTTCAACAACTAAGATTTTCTTTGCCTCTTTTATTCTCATTCTCATATGAGTGTATAGAGGCTATGTATTTGTCAAATCCCAATAAATTAAATACAGAAGAAAATATAACAGTCCAGCCAACTTCCATTAACCAGTCTCTAAAGAGAGTTACAAAAAAGTAAAACACTACCACTCTTTTAACTAATCTTTGGTTCTGGAAAATATCATTATTTTAATTTTAAAATATTGCAAATATATTTTCAAAAAGAACAAAATAATGTTTCCTCACCTTTTTTCTTACCCTTCTAGAGTCAAACTATGAAGTCTTATTATTTTAATTTTAAAATAGTCTTAGGTTAATTTAATGCCATGACACACTAATTCTGAATTGGCAATGAACAAATTATAAGCATTTATTAAACTCTGATTTAAAAAAAATAAGGCCTTGAGATAAGTACTGGACAAAGGGAGCTTTCAGGTGATGTCCCAGGCCACAAGGAGCTCATGGACCCAGGGTAGGGGCAGGTACCACCCCCTGTGCCACACAGCAATGCATCTCACACAACATAGCAGGCTGGAAGAACAGGAAGAGGAGGAGAGAGGAGAGACCCTATCAGCCCATGGGTTGTAAGGGAAGGCCTTCTAGATGGACAGTGGTTGAACTGATTCTTCAAATAAGGATTTTGTTTGGTAGATCAGTGGTTTTCACATTTTAGAACTTGTTAAACACGGAGTCCAATACTGCTTTCCCAGAGAATTATAAGCAGCGTATCTCAAATGCGAAAAAAAGTTGTAAATAATGTAAATATTAACATGTAATGAACTTATTATTGTAGTTGAGTGAATTAATGGATATTTTTAAATGTCTATCTTATTTATAAGTCAACACCATGAAGTTCCTTGCAGTCCTGAATAATTTTTAGGAGTGTCAAGAGTTTTTGACCAAAGAGGTTGAAAACCTCTGATCTAGAAGGATGGTTTTGTAAAAGTAAAAGCACAGCAACAACAACAACCAACTCTGCACTTGGGTGAGAATGAATAGAACCAGAAGAAGACAGCTTGAAGCCAGTAGAGTAGAGAAAACCTGCTTATTGCACCTGCTAAACTGCAAACACCCAAAGGGCTCATGTCTAGCCTGCTTGTGTCTAACTCACTGCCTGGCATTCAGTTGGCACAAAACGAGTATTTGCTCCATCAGTATCTATACATCTTAAGATGTGTTGAGCTTGAAGTGTCTGTGAGACATCTCAGGAGAGAGTAGGGAGATAAATGGAGTTCACTGAAGTAGATATACAGATGTGGAAGTCAGCTTATGAGAAGTGGGTGAAGCAAGGAGTAGGTGAGCACGTCTAAAGAGGCAGAGTGTTAAAAGTGAAGTGAAAAGGTCAGGGAAACCCTGGGGAACACCAGCATTTAAGAGGTGGATGAAGGAAGAGCTCAGCCCATTTTGAGAGCCCAGATGTTTGATGCTAAATACTAGAAAAGTTGTGTCAAAGAAGTAGAACTGAGAAAGTATGTTATTACTGAAGTCAAGACAGAAGAGAAAGAAGTGCAATAAAGTAAGAGCGGTCCTGTGACAAGCACCGTAGCTTGGCTCACCCAGCATCTTTTCTAACTCTCTTTCTCCTGGACTTCCTTCATTTCAAAAGTGTGGCTGTTGTAGCTGGGTGTGGTAGCTCATGCCAGTAATCTCAGCACTTTGGGAGGCTCAAGTGGGAGGATTGCTTGAGCCCAGGAGTTCAAAACCAGGCTGGGCAACATGTGAGACTACATTCCACAATTTTCTTTAAATTAGCCTGGTGTGGTGGCACATACCTGTAGTCTCAGTTACTTGGGAGGCTGAGGTGAGAGGATCATTTGGGCTGGGGAGGTCGAGGCACTCCACTGCACTCCAGCCTGGGCAACAGAACAAGATCCTGTCTCCAAAAAAGTGTGGCTGTCCAATATGGTAGCCACTAGCCACATATGGCTAGTTAAATTCAAATTAATTTAAGTTAAATAATATCAGATATTCGCTTTTCAGTCACACTAGCCAGGTTTCAAGTGTTGTCACCACATGAGGCTAGAAGCTATTCTAGTGGAGCAGGTATAGAACATTTCATCATCACAGAAAGTTTTGTTGGACAAACTCTAGAGGTTGGAAACCTAAAATGGTCTCCCAGATTCTCTTAGAACTAGATGTAGGCAAATGCACAACGCTAATGTGTAGGAGAAAGTCTTTGACGAGGCATCTCTTACCAAATAATTTTTTTTATTAAAAAAAATTTTTTGGCCTGGCATGGTGGCTCACACCTGTAATCCAGCACTTTGGGAGGCCAAGATGGGCAGATCACAAGGTCAGGGATAGAGACCATCCTGGCTAACATGGTGAAACCCCGTATCTACTAAAAATACAAAAAATTAGCCAGGTGTGATAACACATCCCTATAGTCCAGCTACTCAGAAGGCTGACACAGGAGAATTGCTTGAACCTGGGAGGTGGAGGTTGCAGTGAGCTGAGATTGTGCCACCACACCCCAGCCTGAGCAACAGAGCAAGACTCTGTCTCAAAAAAAAAAAAACTCTACAGATGAGGTCTTGCTCTGTTGCTCAGGCTGGAGTGTAGTGGCTATTCACAGGCACGATCATGGTGCACTGCCAACTTATGGGCTCAAGTGATCCTCCTGCCTCAGCCTCCAGAGTAGCTGAGATTACAGGTGCATGCCACTGCATCCCTCTCAAATAACAGTCTTTTTAAAATGTATGTATAGCTCACATTTATTTCAGTTTTTAATATTAGCAGTGTTTTGGGTCTTTATTTAAAATATTTATGATGTTTTTGTGGCCAGAAATACACCATAGGAACTTAACTCATTTGTATCAATTAGCCTATGATAAAATTGGTGGTTATATGTCATTTCACCTAAAGTCACAGTTTCCAAGAACCTAACAATGACTTTAAGTGAGGGCTTGCCCTGTACATATTTTTTTATTTTACATATATCATATATAATTATATATTTATTTTATAACATATTAAATAACTTTATATTATTACATATTGTCTTGTAAACAATATTATATTATAATATGTAAACATTCTATATATGATGTTTCTCTGGAGAACCCTAATACAAATACGTGTATGTAATAACAGGCTGAACTAATGAAGCTGACACTCTAGAAATTGCTTGGTATAATGTAAACTGGAGGAAGAAATCCAAAGCCACAGACAGAAGCCAGCTATGACATGTTTGTTTTCCAAACAGTGCTTGCAGAAATTTTTAGAGGTTGGTATTTGCTATGGGGTTTTGAGACTGGAGGACATCACAGCAGAGCAGAGTTGTTTGGAACAGGTTGGATGATTAGGATTAATCAGGTGAAGCAGAATGCTAGCGACAGGTCTAGAAAAGTTCTAAAAGAAAAGGTACATAAAGTCACTGGAGGCATTTCTTTTAGAGAAGAGTTGTAGCATTTATCCTAGTCCAAGAAGCAAAGAGGAAACAAGCCAAATTCCAACACACAACTGACCTTCTCACAGAGTAGTTTCTGTCAGAGCTTTACTCTCCAAACCTTATTTTTCATCCCTCTCAGGGAGCTTGATGACAATGACTGAAAAATCCAGTCCCTTCTAACCCCAAACAATACTTAGAGAAATACCACAGAATTTTCTTCATGTTTACCATCTTTCCAAGTTCTGACAGCTTCTGGGGTGAAAGAAGCCAGAAGACAGGGAATTAGGATGAAAGGGGAACAGGCTCAACTCATTTCTGGTGAACAACCCCTAGGGCTAGCTAGCCATATGCTAGGCCTTGCTAGTAGAGGGAAAAAGGAAACAATATTCCTGCCCACCTCTAATTGGGGAAAACCAGCCTGGCGCTCCAGAATGCCTATTCTGAGGGAAGATGAAACATCTCACTTTGGGAGTTCTGCACACTTAATTTGTAGAAACATATGTGTGTGGAGCACCAGTGTTACTGGGCAGGTATAGAACATTTTCATCATCACAGAAAGTTTTCTAGATACTATTAGATACTTCTAGGTACTATTAGAACATATGGGCTTAGCCACAGAAGAGCTCCAAGGGCATATGGTGGCATCCTGGATGCTTCATAGGTGAAGGGAATTTAAAACTTCACTAGGGCATCAGCTTCTTGGCTGTTGTCCATTGTTCAACTAAGAAATAATGAATGTAAGTATTACCTATTTCCTAAATTGATGGAAGAACAGGATCACCATGGGACATTACAGTGGCTTAAGGGCACACAAATTGTATGCATCTACATAGAGACTGAATCACTGTTTTTGTTCATTTCCTCCAGCCTATAACAGGACACAACCTGTACTGAAATAACGACTCCCACTCCCACCCAGCAATTTGATCATGTTGTTCCTTCTGCCAGAAATGCTCTTCCCTCTTCTTCAAGGCCCAACTCAGTGCTATTCCCTTTTAAGCTGCCTCTAGTCCCTTTCAGGATTAATCTCTTCTGTGGCTCTCTGAACTTCTCCTATGCAGGGTATCATATACCACCTTTCTTAGTCACTGGTCTCTACCTTCCCTTGCCCTTGGCATTTCCAAGGTCCAGGGCTTACTGCCTTCTCCCTGGAATTCAAACAGCTTTTTGCATAGATGTCAAAATAGGATGTGTCAAAGCTCTCACCTTATCTCACTCAATCCTCCCAACTCTGAGAGGGTAGCAGGCATAGATATTGTTTCCATTTCACAAATAAAGTAACTTAAGACTCAGAGTGTATACATAATTTGCCCAAGGCCACAATCCCAGCTGGTAAAAGTGGCAGAGCTAGAGTCTGCCATATTTAGAGGCTGGAAAGAAATTCTAGTCTATGTTTGAGACCCTTTTGGAAGAATCTGGATTTCAAATCTGAGGTCTGAGAAAACCCAGAAACTGCTTGATTACAACCTATGATATCAAGCTTATTATTTCCAAGAAAAAAGAACAAGTTTTCAGAGAATCAAGCTCAGAGACCTGGGTTCCTATCTCTCCGAGAGACTGTTTCCCCATCTATAAAACAGGGAGGTAGTGACTGGATTAGCAACTCTAAGGATCCTCCCTGAGTGCACGCTAACAACTTTGGTGTCTGGGAGCTGTGGGTAGGCTAGCCTGAAAATGCTCCTTTCTCTCTGCAGATTTACAGCAGGAAGGGCCAGCAGCCAAGCCGTAGGGCTGGTGGGGAGATTGGGAAAAGGACAACAGACTCCAGGACAGGGATTTAGTCTGGACAGAGTACAGGAGTAGGATGGCTCAACCTTCCTTGCCCCATCCCCAGAACAATGGTGCAGAACACCCAGGAAGGAAGCACTTAGAGCAGGGGCAGTACTGTGTTAGGAGGCAGAGGCCTGTGGGATCCCAAATGCCATCGCTAATGCACTGGGTCCCCAGTAGGTCATAGGCCTGTCTGTCCATTTATATCATAAGGGAGAATCCAAACCAGTGCCAATGACAAGTGGGGGCAGTCTGGGGCCACAGCTCCCACACTGGGGTCCCAGATGGCTTGCCCACCAGCAGTTGCCTGGGACAAGTCCTGAACTAAAGAACATCATCAGAAGCAATTTGTATTAATCCATTCTCACACTGCTATAAAGAACTACCTAAGATGGGTCATTTATGAGGAAAAGAGATTTAATCAGCTCGTAGTTCTGCCAGCCTAACAGGAAGCATGACTGGAAGGTCTCAAGAAATTTACAACCATGGTAGAATGCAAAGGGGAAGCAAGCACCTTCTTTATATAGTGGCAGGGGAGAGAGAGAGAAGGGGGAAGTGCCACATGCTTTTAAATGATCAGATCTCATGAGAAGTCGCTCACTATCGCTCACTAACAGCAATGGGGGAAATCTGCCCCCCATTATCCAATCACCTCTCACTGGGCCCGTCCTCCAATTCGACATGAGATTTGGGCAGGGACAAAATCCAAACCATATCACCACCCGCTCCGTGGTCTGTGCACACTTGAAACAAGTTTCCATTTCTCTCCAGGAAGCTCAGAGGCCTGCGGGGTTTGGTGGTTCACTCACCTGAGATCAGCTCCCTGAGGGAGTCCCTGAGACCCCAACATCCAGAAAACCCTTCTTTTCACCAAGTCACCCCCGAGGCTATGTTTGGTGATCACCACTGACGCTCCCTGCTTTCATAACAGGTCCTGGCACACCATTGGCAGGAAGAAACCTGAAAGGAATTAAAAAACAGGATGAATGGAGGTCAGAGAAAGCATCTTGCAATAGAAAGAAGAGAAGGAGAAATGCTCTAAAGACCAGAAATCAAAGTCTAACTTACCCTTCTCGGCCAGTAAAATGTTACCCAGCTACTAGGCTGTTTGCCAAGACTTAGGATCCTCACCTGCAAACTAATGATCCTATGATACTATTGTAGAGGCACTGGGAGTGCAAAGCAGATAAGCAGCTGTAAGGGATGCCCATGTCTTGTTCCCTCCAAGCCCCTCAATATAGCCGGGCACCACAGGCAACTTTCTACAACTACAACCCATACTGATAAGATCATTCTCTGTTAAAAAGCCTTCCACAGCAACCTGGATCAAGGACATGTTTCTTAGAGGCTAGAGCGGACTTTGTGTTGGATGTCATGAAAACAATGGTGGCCTCACCATACGGTGCTCACATCCAGCTAAGGGAACAGCCAAGAGTTAGTGTCATGGGACTCAACTGTGAACCAGAGAGATACGGTATCAGCCAAGATGGGGCTTACAGTACAGCAGGGAGGCCAGTAAGTGGATAGTGTTAATGGAATATGAGAAATAAGGACCATAACCTATTGGTTATGGCAATAGCATACATAGCATGGCAGGCCACCACAGGAGCAAAAAGGAAGCTACACCTAATCGAAGTGAGGGGCAGGAAAGGCTTCCTGGAGAAAGGGTTTCTTGTCAGTGCTTGGAAGGATAAGAAGGAGTTTTTGAGGTGGAAGGAGAATCTCACCATTCTCTTAGTTAGAGCTTGGGCCCCATTCACTCCCAGTCACAGTGGCTGGGGTTTTCGGCACATATCAGAGCAAGTACCCCCACCCCATGTGTCTAGGGCCCCACCTTATGTGTCTAGGGCCCCACCTTCTTTTGAGGGTGTGTAGGAGTGTTCTGGCTATTGAAAAGGGGCTATCCATATAGATGATGTCAGAAAGTCTGAGAAGTTTGGGGGCAGAGACTCTCCAGACCTCCTGTGCTCCGCTCTTTGTGTGTGTGTGTGTGTGTGTGTGTTTTGAGACAGGGTCTTGTTCTGTTTCCCAAGGTGGAGTGCAATGGCACAAACACTGCTCACTCACTGCAGATTCAAACTCCTGGGCTCAAGTGATCCTCCCACCTCCCACCTCAGCCTCTGGAATAGGTGGGACTACAAGTAGATGCCACCATGCTTGGCTACATTTTAAATTTTTGTAGAGACAGAGTTTCACCATATTGCCCAGCCTGGTCTAAAACCCCTGGCTTCAAGTGATCCACCCACCTTGGCCTCCCAAAGTGTTGGGATTACAGGTATGAGCCACTATGCCCAGCCTCTTTGTGGTCTTAAATCCAGGAAGTTCCTGGGGACACGCTTCTCACAGATGCCCTAACTCCAAGCAGGATTTAATGTGGGAAGTGATAGTGATGATGCAGAGCAGCGCAGTAATTGCTATAGGTATTCTCTTTTATTATTATTACATATATATAGGGCAAACGTGGCAGACCTTAGCAATAATGTGGATACAGGGGATGAACTGAGAGGAAACAAGGATGTAAACACAATACTAGAAAACACCTATAATACTTACAATGTGTCAGGCACCATTCTAAATGCCTTATGTATTTTATCTCATCCAGTCATCACAACAACTCTATAATTCAAGTATATTATTATCCCCATTCTCCAGATAAGGAAGCTTATCAGAGAGGCCAAGTAACTTGCTCGTGGTCACCCAGCTAATGGGATGACACCCAGGGTTCCCTGGGTGAATGATAATACTTTTTACAGTGATGAGAACATAGGTTTGAGCTTGAGGGTTATGGATGGATGGTAGAACTTGAGTTCCCTATTTGTTAGCTCTCATCCTAAAGCCTGAATGATGGTTTTCAAGAGAGATCGAGTTGGAGTACAGAATTCCCAAAGGCCTTCTGGAGTTGTCTTTGGCCCAAATGTAGGTGTCCCAAGGTGCTATATTGAGGCATCATGGAGTGTCTTTCCCACTGGCGCCCAACCCAGTCCTGGTAGATCAGGCCAGGCCCACAGTGCTGGTTACAGAAGTCTAAACACACTGCTCAGATGGGCCTGATCTTCACATCCAATGAACGCCAACAACCTGAGCAAGAAACAGCTCTGAATAATAAAAAACCTCAATCTTGACTTTAAAATCCTTGTGTTTCTTATACTAGGAAGCCAGGACTTCAGGACAACATATGGTCAAGGAAACCTGGAATTCAGATCTGAGAGTATTTAGCCTGGCTTTGAGAGATTTCCTCCTCAAGAATCCTAAGCTTCTGAGGCCTTGATATGCCAGTAGGCAATGTCTAGCATCAATGTCAGGCAGAGGCTGGGGTTGCTGGTTTTAAATAGCCAAAACCTCCTTGTGAGATTTCCAAATGTAGAAGGGGACCTTGATAACAGGAAGCCACCCATTAGGATCAATGTACAAAGACTGCTCCAAGAGATTACTTTTAAGCTTGTGGGAACTCTGGAGCAGGACTTCTGGTGTCTGTTTCTATCATGGCCCATGCAGATATAGGAGGAACATATGTCAGGGCCAGGGTTAGGCCCAGGACACCTGTGAAATACTGCCATCCCTAGACAGCCCAGGAGACTGTTTACTTTGGGACCTGTAAAGGACCTACCTGCTGGGCTATAATGAAGACACACAGTTAACTTCATCATGCCCTCTGCCCTTCACCCATGGTCATTAACATGCAGGGCCTGCTCAGTCGTGTCAGTAACAAGGACCTGTTTATATATGACTTTTGTATCCAAACCATTCTTCAACGTGAAGTTCACCTGGGTACCACCTGACACCCAGAGGCTACAACTGCCTCCTAGCTCACAAACTGCTCCCACACCTTCTCACTTTATCTGCTCCTTGGTCTCCCTAGGGACCTCTACATGGACACCAGAATGCTGGTGCTGTCTTAGTAAATATTAACCCATTTATGGGCCAAAATATCACAATTTCTAGACATGCTTCTTGATTTTAAAGATGGAGATGCTTGCTGCTCCCTTCACCGAGACTTCAGATTGGGCATCACACATGGTATAACTGATTGTTCAGGATAAGGATATGCCAGGCCTTTTGCTATGTAGTGTCCGTGTGTTACCTCATTGGGTGCTCCCAGCCCTGTGAGGTACGCGCTATGCTCTGCAATTTTTCAGATGAGAAAACAGGCTTGGAAGTTGGGTATGTTTCCCAACTTCCAAGTCACCTGGAGGAGATAGGGCAGAGCTGGGGCGCATCTGGGTCTCCCGACTAGGGCCTGAGAGCGGAATGTGAGGGGCCTGAGCCCTGGCGAGTCCGCGCCCCCGCCCTGCGGCAGGTGGCCGGGCACTGCCGGGAAGAAGGCCCTGCCATCTCTCCCGGGTGAGGGGACGCGCGCGCCCACCTCCGCAAAAGAGACTTCCGGGATCCCGGAGGGGCCGGAAGTCGAGGCCTCTCTCGCTTCCGGCTCGGCCATTGTTTTTGCTTGAACGGGCAGTAGAGGTTTCCGGCTTCGTTGCCGAGTGCCACCGCGAGTGGGCCGGGACGCGGAGGGAGGCGCGGCCGGAGCTCGGGTCACCGACGCCGGCCGGGACCGTGCTTCTTCCCCACTGCAAGTGGTGCGGTCCCGGAGACTCTCAGAAGCCGCCCGATGTAGAGCCGCTTCTTTGTCCCATACCCCTGACCATCCGTGCGTGGCACGGAGCCGGGTATCTGCGGGTACAGCGATGAACAGGGCAGACGTGGCCAGGTGAGCGGCGCTGCTGAAGCCTGGTTTAACACGAAAGGTAGATCGCTGTTTCCCCAGCTCTTGCAGTGGGAAACTATGAACCGTCAGATTTGGGTCAGACCCAGGCTCGGAATCGCAAACATGGAGCGTGACTTGGAAATGCAAAAATCCAGTTGAGATTTTAAAGTTCTTTGCATTTGGAACAGTCCGGGAAGTAGGAGAATGGCCTGAACTTCCTACCTGTATGGTATCTTAGAGCAGAGTTTACAGATTATTTTAAAGTACTTTGTCTTTTTAAAGAGATTGAGACCCAGGGATCTGGGACGCTTGGTGAATTGGAAGTGCAGCACAGACGCCCTAGGTACCACTAAAGTGCTGATTTTCAATCGTTCAAAGTTTTCCTCCACTTCAGTAGCAGCTAAACGTATCATATTCATTCGTTTCCCAATTATGTGCCTCTGTGTGCCATGTACACACATGTACCAAGATGACTGGAAGTCAGTTCTGCAGTTTGTATACTCCCAGAAAGAGGGGAGACAGTCGTGTAAACCACAAACGATTATAGTATGAGACGCGCTCTACTAGAGGTTTGAATTAAAAACGCAGTTTGGGATCACTAAGACAATAACCACCCCTCTAAGCCTAGCGTGGCCAGAGAAAGCTTTCTAGGGGAGGTACATTGAGTAAAAAAAAGGTCTGGTTTATTCTGATGCCACTTGATTCCTTTCCTTTTGTGGCCATCCAGCAGTTTGGAGGGTGAGAGTAGTGAGTTGTGTATAAACCAGTTAAAATAAAGGGTTATAGTGAGAGGTACACAACAGGAAGCTACCAGCACTCTTCCCAATGGGGCAATCAGGAAAGCCAAGAGAAAATGGCATTTGTTCATGGTCTTGACAGACAAGGTTGTCTCAAGTTGAAAGGAATAAGGAAAATTCAAACAAAAAATGTATGTGGCTTCTAGCTGTGTCTCTACAGCTTTAGCTCCAAACTTTCTTTATTTTGCATTTCTGTCAGAAGTTTGATAATGTACTCCCTTGAACATATCTCCCTACATTGGTTTATTTGTAATTTAAACATGAGACTACTATACAAATTATAATGCACATTATAAAACATATATTAAATATGAGTTAAATAACTTAGTATTTTCTCTTGCACCCTTTGAGATATCCTGCATTTCCCTATTACTGTCTTTCTAGCATGGGTAATTGGGGCAAGAGGTAGGGGGTGTGGCTGGCTGTGAAAGGGGTAAGACCAGGTTGTGAAGGGGTGTGACTGCAAGGCATAGACATTTAGATTTTATTCTGTAGGTAATGGCAGCCACTGAAACTTTAAGAAAGGCATCATTTGGAGAGATGCTTAGGGAGAATGCCCGGTTGTGTTCTTTTTTTCCTGGAGCTTTGTTTTTTAACTCAGTGGAAGATGTCATGATCCTGGGGCTGAACACCCCAAGAATGAAAGTGATTTCTCTCTTGTTTCTATAGGCAACACTGCCATCACACCTTTTCCCAACCCTGAAAAGTAACTCCTGAGACCTGAACTGTAGACCATCGTTTTAATCGGACCAATTGCCTCTGGAACAAGCTTCTCTTTGGGGTCACAATGACCACTGAAGGCAGAGGAAATGTAGGCCTCATCCTCAGGAGTACTGCTTTCCAGAAGCAGGAGGGGCGCCTGACTATGAAGCAAGAGCCAGCAAGCCAGACCTGGGGGCAGGGCAGCAGTCTCCAAAAGAACCATCCTCCTGTCTGTGAAATCTTCCGGCTACACTTCAGGCGATTATGTTACCACGAGATGTCTGGGCCACAGGAAGCACTGAGCCGGCTCCGGGAGCTCTGCCGCTGGTGGCTCATGCCAGAGGTCCACACCAAGGAGCAGATCCTGGAGCTGCTGGTGCTAGAGCAGTTCCTGAGCATCCTCCCTGGGGAGCTCCGGACCTGGGTGCAGCTACATCACCCTGAGAGTGGTGAGGAGGCTGTGGCTGTGGTGGAGGATTTCCAGAGACACCTCAGTGGACCAGAGGAGGTAAGCAGTTGAGTCTAGAATGGTGTCCTGAACCATTCTCTAATGCTTGGGCTAGCCTAGGCATAGGCATTCTCCACTTCACAGGCCCAAGGCTAGTTTGCCTTTAGGGTTCCTGAACTTGTCCTGTGGATAGAGGGGAAATAGTTTTGTACTCCAAGCCATAAACACAAATGCACATCCCAGCTAAGCTCTGTGATTCGCCTTGTGAAATACTGTTTTCTGAGCCTAGCTTCATCCTGGAGATTTACACGGTAATCCTGGCAGGTAGGGGATCTGCACGCTGGTTAGAATAGAGTGATCAGGGGAAGATGGGCTTTTGGGTATGCTGATAATATGGGTCTTCATTTGAGACATTCTCATTACTTCCTTGAACTTCTCAGAGTCAGTTTTCTCTTATGCTGTCTCTTTGATTTTTTGAAAGGTGACATTTTTGGGCATTGTAATTATTTGTTCCTTTTGCTAGCTCTCCAAACCTAACTGGGATCTTTTTGCATCTTTAATTCTAATTTAAATTTTCCCTATTTCCTGAAGTTCTCGCAAATGTAATGCCAAGGTAATTTAAAGTAGAGGAATAGTTGGGAAAAGTGAGCAGAAAGACACGTTGGAAAATCTGGTTTCTAGGACCACAGAGCTAACTAGCTCTGTGACCATGTGTTTCAGTCAGGGTTCAGCCAGAGAGGAAGAATCAATGGGAGAGAGGTGTGTGTGTGTGTGTGTGTGTGCGTGTGTGTGTGTACGCACGCGCACACGCGCACATGCCCATGCATGTGTGAAGAGATTTATTGCTGGCTGGGTGCAGTAACACATGCCTTTAATCCCAGCACTTTGGGAGGCCAAAGTGGGTGGATCGCTTGAGGTCAGGAGTTTGAGACCAGCCTGGCTAATACGGCAAAACCCTGTCTCTACTAAAAATAAAAAAAATTAGCCAGGCGTGGTGATGTGTGCCTGTAATCCCAGCTACTGGGGAGGCTGAGGCAGGAGAATCACTTGAACCCAGGAGGCAGAGGTTGCAGTAAGCCAAGATCACACCACTACACTCCAGCCTGGGTAACAGCAAGACTCCATCTTAAAAAAAAAAAAAGAGAGAGAGAGAGATTTATTGCTAGAAAGTATCTTATGTAATTGTGAGGCTGGCTAGGCAAATCTGAAGCCCATAGGCAGGCCATCAACAGGGGCAGCCCGAAATAGTGGCACAAACTGAACTTGCAGTATACAGGTGGAATTTCTTTCTTCTTTCTCCTTCTTTTTCTCCTCCTCTTCTTTTTGCTTCTCCTCCACTACCTCCTCCTCCTTCTATTTCTCTTTCTTCTTCCTTCTTCCTCTTCTTCTTTCTCCTTTCTTCCTCCTCTTTTTTTTTTTTTTTTTTTTTTCTTTTGAGGTAGGGTTTTGCTCTGTTGCCCAGGCCAGAATGCAGTGGCATGAACTTGGCTCACTGCAAGCACAGCCTCCTGGGCTCAAGTGATCCTCTCACCTTAGCCTCCTGAGTAGCTGGTAACACAGTAATGTGCCACTACACCAGACTGACTTACTTACTTACTTACTTACTTCCTTCCTTCCCTCCTTCCTTCCTTCCCTCCTTCCTTCCTTCCTTCTTCTTTCTTTTCTCTTTTCTTTTTGTAAACATGTGGTCTTGCTGTGCTGCCCAGGCTTGTTGTTGAACTCCTAGCTACAACGATCTTCTTGCCTTGGCCTCCCAAAGCACTAGGATTACAGGTATCAGCTACCACACCTGGCCTGGTATTTCTTCTTCGTGGAACCTTTAGCTCTGCTTTTAAGGGCTTACCACTGATTGAGTCAGGCTCATGCATTCATCCATTATCTAGTATAATCTCCCTTATTTAAAGTAAACTTATTATGTGCTTTAATCATATTTTTAAAATAGTTTACAGCAACACCTGGATTGATGTTTGATTAGTACCAAGTTGACATATCAAAAGGTCATCACACCTTGGATAAGTTAGTTCCTCCTAATGAGTTTCAAATTGTTCCCCTGTAATATGAGCAGGGTGGACTAGAGGTCCCCTCGACTTTACCCCTTTGCACTTTACCAGGGGAAACCAGAGTAGAAAATTTCCCAAGTACCCAATATATCATTTTATTCAATGCTTTTTTTTTCTGAGAGAGTCTCATTCTATCGCCCAGGCTGGAGTGCAGTGGCACAATCTTGGCTCACTTCAACCTCCACCTCCTGGGCTCAAGTGATCCTCCCGTCTCAGCTCCCCTAGTAGCTGGGACCATAGATGTGAACCACCACATCTGGTTAATTTTGTATTTTTAGTAGAGACAGGGTTTTGGCATGTTGTCCAGGTTGGTCTTAAACTCCTGAGCTCTAGTGAGCCACCTGCTGCATCCTCCCAAAGTGCTGGAATTAACAGGTGTGAGCCACCATGCCCAGCCTATTCAATGCTTTTTTTACGTACCTGTCAGTAGGAAATCAGTTCTATTTGATCAGCGTTCTGGGGCTAGACATTTTTCCAGGATTATCAGCAGTGCACATTTGTCATTATCAACCATCATTTTCTTTGTGTAAACAAGTAAACACATATGAGTACATCAACCATCACAAGGGCCTAAAGAGCAGCTGGGCCAGCCATAGCAATGACAGGTGGCTGAAGACATATTTAGAGAACCATTTAGTGAGGGTGGCAGAAGGAAAATTTCCCTATTTCCTACTTGGTTTTGCTTAAGAAGTGAATGCTTCCTGGCCAGGCGCAGTGGTTCGCACCTGTAATCCCAGCACTTTGGGAGGCTGAGGTGGGCAGATCACCTGAGGTCAGGAGTTCGAGACCAGCCTGACCAACATGGAGAAACCCCATCTCTACTAAAAATACAAAAAATTAGCTGGGTGTGGTGGTGCATACCTGTAATCCCAGGTACTTAGGAGGCTGAAGCAGGACAATCACTTGAACCTGGGAGGTGGAGGGCAAAGGTTGCAGTGGGCCACAATTGTGCCATTGCACTCCAGCTTGGACAATAAGAGCAAAACTCTGTCTAAAAAAAAAAAAAAGAAGTGAATGCTTCCTCTATTAAAACTTTTAATGCTTTATCCATGTAGCCTCAAAAAGGGTGACTGTTGAATCACAACCCAAGAAAATGCCTAGCAGTTGACAGGTGAGACAGCTGAATGCTCATGGCTCCAACGTGGGAGTAGGGTCCTTGGAGTCCATTTCTTACTCTCCCGCTACTGTCAGTGTTATGTTTTCTGACATGAAGGCATAAAGGCAGGACTGTCTTTCATAAGCAGGGATTCAGAAAATGTTTATAGAATGGCTAAATGAATAAACAGACTTTTCCATGGAAGTTTGCCAAGAGGAGATTAAGGAGGCTCCAGGAAAATTGGAGTCATTTTGCTTATCAGGAGCAAGCCACTTTATTGTTGCAGAAGGAACATGTACATGTGTGTACATTGTGTCTAGAAAAGGGTTGTAGAGTGATCCCTGCTGGGCAGCAGAATCATGCAACTTGCAGAATGCTGTATCTTCTTCTTCTTTTTTTTTTTTTTTTACTTTTACTTTCACTTTCTTTTTCTTATTTTTTTTTTAGAATGCTGTATCTTTTTTCATCTACCATCAGAGTTACAAAACAAGCAGTACAGTAATCATTATCTCCATTTGACAAGTGAGCACATGTCCCTTTTACGTTGCAAAATACAATTACCCTTCTTAATAGTTCCGCAGTCTTAAGTCATTTCACCATTAACTCAAAAGTCTACAGTCCAAAGTCTCATCTGAGACATGGTAAGTCCTTTTCACCTATGAGCCTGTAAAATCAAAGACTAGTTAGTTACTTCTAAGATACAATGGTGGTACAGGCATTTGGTAAATGCTCCCATTCCAAATGGGAGAAATTGGCTAAAACAAAGGGGCTTCATGTCCCATGCAAGTCCGAAACCCAGTAGGACAATCATTAAGTCTTAAAGCTCCAAAAATACTCTCTGACTCCATGTCTCACATCCAGGTCATACTGATGGAGAAGATTGGTTCCCAAGGCCTTGGGCATCTCAGCCCCTGTGGCTCTGCAGGGTATAGCCCCCATGGTTGCATTCACCAGCTCACATTGAGTGCCTGCACCGGGGTGCAAGCTGTTGGTGGATTTACCATTCTGGGGTCTGGAGGATGGTGGCCCTCTTCTCACAGCTCAACTAGGCAATACCTCAGTGGGACTCTGTGTGGGGGCTCCAACCTTACATTTCCCCTCCACACTGCCTTAGTAGAGGATATCCATGATGGCTCTGACCCTGCAGCAGAATTCTGGCTGGACATCCAGGTGTTTCCATACCTCCTCTGAAATCTAGGAGGAGGTTCCCAAACCTCAGCTCTTGCCTTCTGCACACCCATGGGCCCAACACCATGTGAAAGGTGCCAAGGCTTGGAGCTTGCACCCTCTGAAGCCACAGCCCAAGCTATACCTTGGCCTCTTTTAACCATGGCTGGAGCTGGACTGACTGGGACACAGGGCACCATGTCATGAGGCTGCACAGAGCAGCTAGACCCTGGGCCTGGCCTATGAAACCATTGTTTCTTCCTAGTCCTCCAGGCCTGTGCTGGGAGGGGTTGCTGTGAATGTCTCTGAAATGCCTTGAAGACATTTTCTCTGTTGTCTTGGCTATTCACATTTGAGTCCTCTGTACTTACTCAAATTTCTGCAGCAGGCTTGAATTTCTCCCCAGAAAATGGGTTTTTCTTTTCTACCATGTGGCCAGGCTGCAAATTTTCCAAACTTTTATGCTCTGCTTTCCTCTTAAATATAAGTTCCAGTTTCAGATCTTTTTCACAACTATGGTGGACACTTTTTTAGAAACAGCCAGGTCACTTCTTGAATGCTTTGCTGTTTAGAAATTTCTTCTGCCAGATACCCTGAATCATCTCTCTCAAGTCCAAAGTTCCACGGATATCTAGGGAAGGGGCAAAATGCTGTTGGTTTCTTTGCTAAAGCATAGCAAGAAAGACCATTGCTCCAGTTCCCAATAAGTTTCTCATCTCCATCTGAGACCACATCAGCCTGGACTTCATTGTCCATATCACCATCAGCATTTTATTCAAAACCATTGAACAAGTCTCTAGGAAGTTCCAAACTTTCCCACATCTTCCTCTCTTCTTCTGAGCCCTCCAAACTGTTCCAACCTTTGCCTGTTACCCAGTTCCAAAGTTGCTTCCACATTTCCAGGTATCTTTATATTGGTGCCCCACTTTCCTGGTACCAATTTTCTGTATTAGTCTGCTTTCACACTGCTATAAAGAACTAACCTGAGACTGGGTAATTTATGAAGAGAAGAGGATTAATTGTTTCACAGTTCTGCAGGCTTAACAGCAAGCATGACTGGGAGGCCTCAGGAAACTTACAATCACAGTGAAAGGTAAAGGGGAAGCAAGGAACTTCTTCACATTGTGGCAGGAGAGAGAGCACACAGAGGGAAGTGCCACACACTTTTAAACAATTAGATCTCTTGAGAACTCACTATTATGAGAATAGAAAGGGGGAAATCCGCCCCCACCACTTGATCCCATCACTTCCCACCAGGCCCCTCCTCCTATTTGACATGAGAGTTGGGCAGGGACACAAATCCAAACCATACCAAAGTCCTAGATAATGAACAGGAACTTTGCTAGGATTTAAGTATTAGTGAATTACAAAGTTGAATTATCACAGTGCAGTAAGTCCTATCTTCTGCCAATACCCAAAGCTCCTGTATTGAAGAGCTGTGACTCCCATTTTAGGGAGTCTTTCAGTTTCAAAAAACCTTTCAGTGGGAGAGCTTGGGAACTACAGAATCTAAGGAGCCTGCTGGTTCTAGCACTACACTGGTGAGATAAATATTAAAGGAGAGAGTTCCTTAACATCTCGGCGGGTGCAACCTAATAGAGCAAATCCTGTGTGGTTTATTGAAGGGGAAGTTATTTTTACTGCATGCTGTGCTATGCACATACCAGAGCAAGTGAACTTTAAAATGTACCTTATTTAGATAACATTTTAGGTTTTCTGCCCCACATACTGGTAAAAGCAGTAACCATGAGATTGTGAGGAGCTGGTTTGATGACAATAAACAAGGGTTAGATGTCTATGCTCTGAGGTATTCTCAAGGTCTACACAAGTTAGTGTTATCTGATCTTATTTGGCTTTTTCAATATAAATTACTGGGGAGAGGTAACATATATCGAAAACTGAGTTTGCAGGTAACCTTAAATCTTTTAGTAAAATATCAAGAGGAAGTCAGCAGATATTAATTGAACAGCAATGTAGGGCTATATGTTGTTTCGGAGTTAGCGATCAAAAGTTCTTATTCTTAAAATGTTACATTCTGTTGGGGAAACATAGACAATAAAGACCTAAGTAAAATTACTTAAATATTAATTCATGTAATATAGAAATTACAGTATGTTAATTGAGTCTGACTATCTGCTTTGTCAGTGTGTTTAGGGAAACCTTCTCTGAGGAGGAGACACTTTTTCTCAGAGAAATTGGAAAAGCTCTCAAGATTTGCCAGCCACTGTTCTGGGTATTGCTTCAGCTGTTAGCGTCAGTAGCATTATTTGTGCACATGAACATACACATACCTATCTTTTTTTTTTAATATCCTTTGTACTTTTTTTTTTTCAAGATGGAGTCTCACTCTGTTAACCAGGCTGGAGTGCAGTGGTGCAGTCTTGGCTCACTGCAACTTCCACTTCCCGGGTTCAAGTGATTCTCCTGCCTCAGCCTCTTGAGTAGTTGGGACTACAGGTACATGTCACCACACCCAGCTAATTTTTTGTATTTTTAGTAGAGACAGGTTTCACCATGTTGGCCAGGCTGGTCTCAAACTCCTGACTGCAGGTGATCCACAGTCAGCCTCCCAAAGTGCTGGGATTACAGGTGTGAGTCACCACGCCCAGCTGTCAGCTACAGAAAGGAACTTGTTTGTACTTCTGACTGTTCCTTTCTGTCAGCTAATGCCCTCAAGAATGTACTGAAGTGCTCTCCTGGCTCCTTTTTAAAATGGTTCTTCATAAGAAAATATGTGTCCGAAGACCTGACAGAGTGTAAATGGTTATATAATCTGGTTTTCAAGCTCCTAACAAGAGGGTCAAGAGAGGTATGGCGAATAGAATTGGATTCTGCTTTCAGTTTTTTTCCCCCAGTAGCCTATAGTGGTGGGCTGGAAGGACACTGGCTCTTCTTTTTTCCTAGCTTTCTTTCTGGAGAGGGCTGCTAGAGGTTTGGGATTCAGTACTTTCAAGGATGCTGTTTTGAACCCAATTGTATTTCTCTGTCTCTAGGTTTCAGCCCCAGCACAGGAGCAGGAAATTCATTTGGAGGAGACAACAGCTCTGGCTGCAACAAAGGAATCTCCTCCTGCATCACCCCTCAGTGGGGGCTCAGACTTTGGAGCCCACCTGCACCCTCCTTATGACCCAAGGACACACCACTTCGCCAATGGGGACTTTGGTACTTATCTCCCCAACTTTGGCCTTAAGTCATGCCTCCTTTCTTTTTTCTGGAGTCTCCTTTCCTTTATCTGCCCATCTCCTACCCCGTGGAATCCCTCATTGCTCCACTGTCTGTTCTTCTTCCCTAGTGACCCTATTTGTTCCTTTTGCTTATTCTCTAATCATTCACGTGTTAGTAAGTTTTCATCAAGCACATATCATAGGAAAGGCACTGACAGAAACCAGAGAGATATAGTGCATCTGTTGTCACTGATTTCAAAGAGATGTTTTTCAAGGTGGAAGGATCAGTTAGTATGTGTAAGAAGAGGCAACCTCATAAGATGCACATGAATGATATCTGTTTCTCAGGCATTTGATCCTGTCACAGATGAGCAATGTGGGCATTGTAAAAAGTGATCACTGGGTAAAAAGCAAGATCATTGTGGGCTGGAACTGATAATGGATGCTTCATGAAGGAGATAGCAGTGTATTGGGCAGTAAAAATGTGGAAGAATTTTGAAGGGGAGAGAAAAGTAGTAGGCATGCCATTAGAAGATACAACAAAGACTCTAAGCTGGGGATTCCTTGAGCCCTGATTGAGGTGTGGTTGGGGAAGACTATATTTGGGCCTTGTTTATACAGGACCTTGAGCTTGAGCAGGAAGATTTTGGGAGCCAAGGATAATGTGTTAGAAATAGTATGTCAAGAGGATTACTCTGGCACAGATGAGCATTGTGGATTGAATGGGAAGGAGCCTTAGTAAAAGGCTAGTGCAGTAGAATAGATGTGAGGTAATTAATGCCTGAAGTGCAAAGAGAGGAATGGGCAAGGATAAATGTAAAAAATGTTATCATGGAAGCATGGAACCATGGGACCTGAGTTTGAAAGGAGAAAAAAGGGGAGTTACAATGTTTTGGCCAATGATGGAATCATTGAGGGAAATTGAGAAATCTAAAAGAAAGGTGATAAGAACATTTTACTTATTTATTTCATGTCATTTATTTATTTATTTTAGAGAGCTAGGATCTCACTCTGTCACCCAGGCTGGACTGCAATGGCACAATCATAATAGCTTACTGTACCCTTGAACTCCTGAGCTCAAGAAATCCTCCCAACATGGCCTCCTAGAACTATAGGCATGACACCATGACCAGCTCTTGTTTGAAAAAAAAAAAACTTTTTATAGAAATGGGGTTTCTTGGGCCAGGCACGGTGGCTGACGCCTGTAATCCCAGCACTTTGGGAGGCCGAGGCGGGTGGATCACGAGGTCAAGAGATCGAGACCATCCTGGTCAACATGGTGAAACCCCGTCTCTACTAAAAATACAAAAAATTAGCTGGGCATGGTGGTGCGTGCCTATAGTCCCAGCTACTCAGGAGGCTGAGGCAGGAGAATTGCCTGAACCCAGGAGGCAGAGGTTGCAGTGAGCCGAGATTGCGCCATTGCACTCCAGCCTGGGTAACAAGAGCGAAACTCCATCTCAAAAAAAAAAAAAGAAATGGGGTTTCTGCTGGGAGCAGTGGCTTACATACTTATAATCCCAGCACTTTGGGAGGTGGAGTCAGGTGGATCACTTGAGTTCAGGAGTTCCAGACTAGCCTGGCCAACATGGTGAAACCCCATCTCTACTTAGCAGGTGCTTGTAATCCCAGCAACTCCAGAGGCTGAGGTAGAATTGCTTGAGTCTGGGAGGCAGACATTTCAGTGAGCCAAGATCATGCCACTGTACTCGAGCAGAGTGAGACTCTGTCTCAGAAAGAAAGAAGGAAAGAGAGAGGAAGAAAGAAAAAAAAGAGAAGAGAGAGAAAAAAATTTTGAAAGAGAAAGAAAAGAAAGAGAAAAAAGAGGAAGGGGAAGGGAGAGGGGAGGAAAAGAAAGAGGAAAGGGATGGAAAGGAAGGGAGTAAAAAATGTCTCCTTATGTTGCCCATGCTGGTCTTGAACTCCTTGCCTCAAGCTAGCTTCTCACCTCAGCCTAGAACATTCATCCATTCTAGACACTGAACTTAAGGTGTTGCAGGACCCCGAAGTGAAACATCCCATAGACAGCAGGAAGCATGTGGTAGGGGTCTAGGAGAGAAGTAAGAACTGTGAGAGCAGTATTAAAGTGATGAGAGTTGGTGAGATTGCTGACAGAAAGAACAAGGAAGCACGGGGGCCTGAGTTGTAAGGAGTGTCCATAATGAGAGTGCAGGAGCAGGAAGAGGAACCGGGCCATGAGGAACCACAACTGTGAGGGGAAAGTCAGGGCTGGCTGGTGCTAGAGAAGCCATGGGAGAGAGTGTGGCCAGAATAGCTTCCTTGAAAAAGGTTCAAGAGAGTGGGGGCTTGGAGGAACACCCAATTCTCAGCTTGACCTGGGACCCTGTACTATGCCCTCCAGGGCAAATTCACAGCACACTTGGGATAAGGCCTTATTATGGAAGACGGTAAGAGTCAGTGTGTGTGAGGTGCCTGGGTTCTTATTGGGAACATAGATCTCACGGGAGCCAGAAGCAGGGCTTGTCCCACTCATAGCTTTCTTTCCTCCCTCAGCTCAACCTGCTTCTCCAGTTCCTACCCTTCCTCAAGTGGGAAACTCAGGAGACCAAGCAGGGGCAACTGTACTTCGGATGGTCAGGCCCCAGGTGAGCTTGGTTCTTTCTGTTTTTACCATGTCCCCAAGACTCTGGTCCAGGAATGGCTAGAGGTCTCACCACCAGCACTCTGCCCCATCCAAGACTGTTCCCATGTCTCTCCTGCATAATTGCTTCCCTGGAGGTAATGGATTCTGTCTTGCCCTGGACTTGTCCTTTTTGAGGTATCATCTCAGCTTCTCTCTCCCACACTTTTGCCCATAGAGAGCCCATACCCTGTGCCCTCTGTACCCTGATGACTCTGCACTTCAGGCTATGAATGTTCCTGAGCAGTTGGAGCTTGTCATTCCAGGATACTGTGGCGTTTGAGGACCTGTGTGTAGACTATACTCAGAAGAATCAGAAATGTCCTGCGCTCAGTCAGAGAGCAATGCACTGCAACGTGATGCCAGATAATGACCACAGCATGGCCTCCTTGGGTAATGATTCTGTTTCCTAGTCACTTAGAGTCTACATGCTGCACATTCTCTTTGCTATATTTCCTGTCTTTTTAAACTTTTTACTATGAAAATTTCCAAATGTAAACTAAAGTGAATAAGATAGGGACCCTTTCTGCATTCATCACTGAGATTCAACAGTGATCAGCATTCTCTTCACCTCATTATGCATTGACATAGTATGGTTTTGATAGGGCTTCTTGGTTGTAAGGAATAGAGGGCCACTCAAGTTATTATTAAAGTAAGGAATTCTGAGCCTTGGCTTAAAGGAATGGGAACCCAGAAGAAACTGATTAGCTAGACCAGACTGTGGGAAGCAGAGCCTTGACACCCTGGGAGCCTGAGCAGCAAAAGCAAAAGGATGTTGATGCCTGTGTTCCAATGTGAATGTAATGTAGCTGCTCACAGTGCATCTGTTTTCTCTCTGCTTGTCCTCCTCCTGCTGCCCATTTTCTTCATTGTGAATCTTTTGTTCTTTTCATAGCTCTTTCCTAATTGTACTTTCCGTTCTCTTACACTTGTTGCTTGCCGTGTCTCCTAATTGCTTGGCTTCTCTCCATGTATCACCTCAGATTCCACTGCTACTCATACTTGCCTTAATTTTGCCCTACCTCCAGTTCCAAATTTACTTAGAGACAGATTCCCATTGCTATGGCCATTACCCATCATCTCGCTTGGGTAGAGCTTTGGCCCAGGCCACAGCAGAGACTGAAGACCAACCTACAGATAAGCTGCCCTTGGGTCCAGTACCTGGTGCTGGTCCAATCACCTGTGGCTCATCATGGATGTTCAGGGTCACTTGGCACAAAGCATAGCAGTCTAAGCATCCCTCTCTGCAAACACTGCAGGAGAGCAGTTTCCTGAAAGGGCTTCTTGGCAGGGCAGATCCTGTGATTGATGAATTAGGGCAGTCTTATTACTGTCCTGACATACAAGATCTGTTCTTTTTGTACACTTTTCTTGTCATACCTCCATAATATAAATTTCCTGTCAACTCACCCTCATTTTTTCCCTGTCTCTTTCTTACATTTGACTTGAAGTATTTTCCAGCCTCCTCTCTTCCAACATCTTTTCCGAGAACAATGGAACCATGCAATGTTATGGTTGGAGGGGAGCTTATGTGTTCATGACTTTGCTAAGGAGACGTAGCATGCGAGTGACTTCTGTAAGATCACAGCATGCTTTGCAATCCAGTTTTTTGCTTTCCAATGGCCCTTCTGACTTGGTTCTGCTGGCTCAGTCTCTTTTTTTTTTTTAATTTTTTTCTTCTTTATTATTTTTCTTTTGTTAAGATGCTGTTGACATTTCTGTTCTCATAGGCTCAGTCTCTTTTTTACACCTGTCTCCACTGACCATCTTCCCCTTCCTATCCCTAGGGAAAGAAATTGAGCTATTACTATTTCTCATTTGCTGTTGCTCTCAATATGTTGTCTCATTCCTTAACCATAATGTGCCTTTTTTTTCAGGTATGTAAGCTGTTAATGATTCTCTTTCTTAAACAGGACAAGAAATGAGTAAAAGTTGTTGCCTTCTTTCTTTTGGCAGCAGGTGAGAACAAGCTGGAGAGTTCAGAGTTGACTCCAAAGCAGGAAATTTTTAAAGGATCAAAGTCATCTAATAGAACATCTGGAGAACTCTTTGGGGTGGTTCCTGGGGGAACAGAGACTGGAGATGTTTGTGAAGATACTTTCAAGGAGTTAGAAGGACAAACCTCAGATGAAGAAAGGAGCAGACTAGAAAATGATTTCTTGGAAACAGATGAAGATAAGAAAAAATTCACAAAGGACAGATTCAACAAATATAAGGAAGTTGGGGAACATACACGTCTGTCCTCCAGTCCTGCTGAAAATGAAGAAATTTTAAAGGGACAGAAATCCTATCAATGTGATGAATGTGGCAAAACTTTCCATCGGAGCTCTCACCTTATTGGCCATCACAGAATCCACACTGGAGAGAAACCCTATGAGTGTAATGACTGTGGGAAGACCTTCAGGCAAACCTCTCAGCTCATTGTTCATCTCAGAACCCACACAGGGGAAAAACCCTATGAATGCAGCGAGTGTGGAAAGGCCTATAGGCACAGCTCCCATCTCGTTCAACACCAGAGACTCCATAATGGGGAGAAACCCTATAAATGTAATGAATGTGCAAAAGCCTTTACTCAGAGTTCCCGACTCATTGACCACCAGAGAATCCATACTGGGGAGAAACCTTATGAATGCAATGAGTGTGGAGAGGCATTCATTCGAAGTAAAAGTCTTGTTCGACATCAGGTCCTACACACTGGTAAGAAACCTTACAAATGTAATGAGTGTGGGAGAGCATTCTGTTCCAATAGAAATCTCATTGACCATCAGAGAACCCACACTGGGGAGAAGCCTTATGAGTGTAGTGAATGTGGCAAAGCCTTCAGTCGGAGTAAATGTCTTATTCGACATCAGAGCCTCCACACTGGGGAAAAGCCATACAAATGTAGTGAATGTGGGAAAGCCTTCAATCAGAACTCTCAACTTGTTGAGCATGAGCGAATTCATACTGGAGAAAAGCCTTTTGAATGTAGTGAATGTGGTAAGGCATTCAGTCTGAGTAAATGTCTTATTCGGCACCAGAGACTTCACACTGGTGAAAAGCCCTATAAATGCAATGAGTGTGGAAAGTCCTTCAATCAAAACTCACACCTTATTATACACCAGAGAATTCACACTGGTGAGAAACCCTATGAATGTAATGAGTGTGGGAAGGTATTCAGTTATAGCTCCAGCCTTATGGTACATCAGAGAACCCATACTGGGGAAAAACCTTATAAATGCAATGATTGTGGGAAAGCTTTTAGTGACAGCTCACAGCTTATTGTGCACCAGAGAGTTCACACCGGAGAGAAACCTTATGAATGTAGTGAGTGTGGGAAAGCCTTTAGTCAGCGTTCCACTTTTAATCACCACCAGCGAACTCATACTGGAGAGAAGCCCTCAGGTCTGGGTTGGTCAGTTTCTTAGGGTATGGTTCTCTCAGACAGAGAGCAAGGACTTTGAGTTAAGCTTTCTTTATAAGAAGGATGCTCACATTGGTTTCCCAGAGCCACTAGTCACGGTGATTGCCTACTTGCTTTTCCTTGGATCACTAAGGTAGGAGAGTAGGAGTAACTTATTCCAATTCTTATCCACCTGTTAGGAAGACAAGGACTACACATGTCATTTAATTGTAGGTTTCCTTTTTTTCTTTATTTTTAAATTTTAACTATTTTAAAATCTATTTCATTTCTTAGTTATGCATCTCAAAATCAGACTCCATGCTTTTCAAAGACAGAGATAACATCTGTATTCTATCCTACTTCCTCCATTTCATCATTTATACAAAGTCATTCAACAAGGCTGATTCATGCCTTCCTGCCTCTTGGCTGTGGCCCTCCCCCATCTACTCTTTAAACTTTAATTTATAGCCTTCCATTGCTTTCATTCCTTATCTAGGAAACATTTTATTTTGTTTGCTAATCTTTGTCTCTCACAATTTTTGAAATCCATCTCATCTCTTAAGTACTTTCTTCTTCAAATGCTTCTTTATTTTTCTTCAACTTCTCTTGATTTGACCTCAATGCTTTGAATTCACTGGTGCTACAATATGTAACTGTTGTTAAATTGCCTTGTAAATTTTGCGTGTCTGTATACTTTATAATAACTTGTAGGCTCTTTGAGGTCAGGTATGTATTTCTTTCCAATATAGATGGTATTTTGTACACATCAGTTGTTAAATAAATAATTTTTAAAACCTCAACTCTCATATTGAATTATCCTTAAAGTATGCACAATCTTTCTCCCCTTCCCAGCTGGACTAGATGCCTCCTTTTTTTGTTTGTTTGTTTTTGAGATGGAGTCTTACTCTGTTACCCAGGCTGGAGTGCAGGGGTATAATCTCAGCTCACTGCAACCTCCACCTCTCGGGTTCAGGTGATTCTCTTGCCTCAGCCTCCCAAGTAGCTGGTACTACAGGTGTGCACCACCACGCCCAGCTAATTTTTGTATTTTTAGTAGAGACTGGGTTTCACCATTTTGGCCAGGATGGTCTTGATCTCTTGACCTCGTGATCCTCCCTTTTTGGCCTCCCAAAGCACTGGGATTACAGGCATGAGCCACCGTGCCTGGCCAGGACTAAATGCTTTGAAAGATGAAAGTCCATCTCATCATAAAATATCATATACAGAAATCTCATTCATATCTTTTGCATGTACTCCTGGAAGTGTTACTGCTGTTACTTTAGCCTCAAAATGCGAATGGATTTGTGCGTGTGTGTATGTATGTGAAAGAGACGTGTGTGTGTGTTTGTGTGAATGTGTGTGTAACTAGGTATTTAGTTAGACAGTCATATCCCACTGATATGGACTTTGCCCTTCATGCTAATTCTGGTTCTGAACTTGCTGACTGTACTCTGTTTCCTAAATTAACAGATTAAGAACTGTGTCAAAATTTACTGCACAGAAGACTTGACTTTCATAGCAGTGGTACAGATGATTGAAAATCCAGCTGGCAGCATTCTCTGATGTTTGGAATTCACTATGGCGAGGCTTGTGGCAAGACAATAGATTCACAGTAATCTGTTTTCCTTATTAATTAGTCCTATCTACCTACAACTGCCATCTTAATTTAAAGATGAGAGCTGTACTTTTAATTATCATAATTGTCTTCTGAACCATCTTTAATTCCCCAAAGATATAAGAAAATAAATTTCAGCAGATTTTCTCTCCTTTTGCCATCACAGGTCAGTCCATGAGCTTTAACAACTTTTCCCTTCCACCCTTGCAATATGGCCCAGATCTAGGGAACCTTTGCTTCTGGTGTTCACCACTTCTTTTTCCATCCCCTAAACTTATCTTAATAGGTTGACAGGATCTGCAGTGTGACAGAGTAGAGGAGGAGGCTAGAGGAGCCACGTCAGTTATATAATCTGGAGGGGAAATTTTGTGAGGTGTGGTATATGTCTTGACATAGAAGAAAGGGTGGAATTGAGGCATAAGAAAGTAAGATTAGATGTGTTTCTAAGGGAGACATCTCAGACAAGTTTAGAAAGAATAATAGGAGTCCAGAAAACATTATTATTGAACTCAGGACACAACTGAAAATTTGCCACTTATGAATATATATTTTAAATTTGTTTTCAACTATATATTTGGTATGTGTTTCTGTTTTCATTTTGGAAGATATGCCAATGAGACTTTTCATTGTTTTAATTTGGAAGTTCCCAGATCCCATGGGCAAGCCCAACCCTATATGAGCACATGGGTCCAGCTCTCCACCCTGAGTTGGACGTTTCTGGTTAAGTCTTCAATGTAAAGATCCTGCCCATTAGGTGCTGCAATTTTACCTTCTGGTTCTTCTCTGCTCATCGCCTACCACACTAACCCTCTAGAGGGAGGGAACCTGCACTCTTCATGGCTAAGGTGGGAATAGTAGGGAAAAAAGAGTACATGTGGGGAATACTACACCAGCGTGGTATAGTTTTTATTAAACTTGACTCCCTTGACATCCTTAAAAGCCTCAGGCTTTTGGATAGAGGAAAATTGGCTGCATTTGAAAGCCATATCTCAAATTCTATTGGTTATTCCTAGTATAAAGTTAAAAAAAAATTTTAAATCCAAGTTGTTTTGTTGCTGAATAATTTTTAGTTTTAATTGTTTTTCAGTTTTATTTTCTAGGTATATAATAAATTAATGACTCCTTTAGGTTTTAATTTTCTTTTTTTTTTCTGGGAGACAGGGTCTCAATTGCTTGCCCAGGCTGGAGTACAGTGAGGTGACCACAGCTCACTGCAGCCTCAACTTTCCAGGCTCAGGTGATATTCCCACTTCAGCCTCCTGAGTAGCCAGGACTATAGGTGCGTGCCACCATGCCCAGCTAATTTTTTATAGAGATGGGTTTTCACCATGTTGCCAAGGCTGGTCTTGAACTCCTGGGCTCAAGTGATCCCCCGTCTTGGCCTACAGTAGTGCTGAGATTACACGTGTGAGCAGCCTTATTTTCAATCTTATGTCACTTATGTTGTGCATTAGCAAGAACTTCCAAAAATGTTCAGTAGTATGGATAACAGGGTCATCTATGTCTTAAATCTCAGGAGGGATGTTTTTAGTATTTCACATTTTCATTCTCATTCATTGTTGGATACCAATAAATATTCTGTTGCATTTAGGATGTTTCCTTCTAATCTTATTTCTAGAAGAAGCAGAGTAATAAAGTGGTTACGAGCACAGATTTGGGCTGGGCGCGGTGGCACATGCCTGTAATCCCAGCACTTAAGGAGGCTGCGGGTGGATTACTTGAGGTCAGGAGATTGAGACCAGCTTGGCTAACATGGCAAAATCCCATCTCTACTAAAAATACAAAAACTGACTGGGTATGGTGGCGAGCATCTGTAATCCCAGCTACTTGGGAGGCTGAGGCAGAACTGCTTGAATCTGGGAAGAGGAGACTGCCGTGAGCCAAGATTACACCATTGCACTCCAGCCTGGGTGAAAAGAGTGAGACTTCATCTAAAAAAATAACAACAACAACAACAACAAAAGCATGTTTTGTTCCCAGAAATTCTGGGTCCAATCAGATGTGGTAGGTCACACCTGTAATCCCAGTGCTTTGGGAGGTGAAAGCAGGAGGATCACTTTTTCAGGTCAGGAGTTTGAGACCAGCCCAGGCAACATGTCAAGACCTTGTCCCTAAATAAATAAATAAAATATTAGTTGGGTGTATTGGTATATGCCTTTAGTCCTAGCTACTCAGGAGGCTGAGGAAGGAGGATTGCCTAAGCCTGGAGGTTGTGGCTCTGATGAGTTATCATCACACCACTGCAATCCAGTCTAGGCAATAGAGTGAGAATATGTCTTTAAAAAAAATCTGCATGCCCATCACTTTGTTAGGTGTGTGACTGTGGGAAAATCACCTAGCTTTCTTGTGTCTCAGCTCTTCTGTCTATAAAGTGGAGCTACTTCCTAGGGTCACAAGGATTAAATTAGTCAATATGCACTACTTAAAACAGTGCTTGACACATATTATACACTATAGTAAATATTAAAGTTTTTTTAGTAATGGTTGCTAAGTTCTATCAAGTTATAAAAAATCAAAAAGTTCTCAAATAATTGAAATTTTGTTGTATTCCTGGGATAAATCTATTTGTTGTTTTTTAAGTTCAGAAGTAGATTCAGTTTGCCACATTTTGCTGGCTGTGCAAAATGAATTTGGAATTTTTTTCTTTTATTATTCTGGAAGAGTGTGTAATACAGCAGTTATTCCTCGAAGGCTAGCTAGAAATGACACATTTAGATAGATAGATAAATTTTTGCCTGGTGTTTGTATGTGGCAAGGTGTAGGGACTTATTTTAGCATACTTTCAGTTTTTTTCAATGGTTATGGCCTAAAGGTTTTCTACTTCTGTGTAAATTTTTCTAATACGTATCTGGAAATTGTATTTACTATTCTGTCAAACATTGGCATAAAGTTATACGTAGTATTCTGTACGATTATTTTCCTCTGTTTTGTATATGTAGTTAGACCTCCTTTTCCATATATAGTCATTCCTCAGTATCCACAGGGAATTGGTTCCAGGATGCCCCCCTCAGATACCAAAGCCCTCAGATGCTCCCTTACACTCAGCCTTCCATATCCTTGGAATATGTGGATGCAGAACCCATGAATACAGAGGGTCAGCTGTATAATGTTTTACATTTTGATTTCCTTTCCATTTTTTATTTTCCTTTCAGGACTACCAAAGGTAGTGTATTTTGTTTCCCTTTTTAAATTTCATTTTTCTTGAATTTTTTTCATATGTTCTTTTACTGCCTCACGTTTCTGAGGCTTTGCATTGCCTTCAAATACATTTGTTATTTTCCTCATTAGTAAATGATGAGGGCTTTCCAGTCCTTAATTTGTCTGTAAATAGGGAAAATGGATTTTCCTTGTATCCCTTTATATTCCAAGTAGGTGCTGTTAAAACTGTCTCTTTAGCTCTGAAGCTAGAAGGTTAATTGTAAATTTATATAACTATGTACTTCAGCAGTAGGGAAGCAGCTTCATATTTTGCTGAACTGGTTGAAAATTCTTCACTCAGGGCCAGCTTTTAAATCTACCTTTCTTTTTGGCTCAGCCTCCAGGCTAGTTATCCAGTGGAGCCTCCTTCCAAGTTCTCTGCCTCATTGGAAATAGCTTGGTTGTGAAAAACTGAATGTGGAAAACCCTTCAGTAACAAGTCATTACTCCACATTGGAAACAAAATCTTTTTTTTTTAAGTGACAGGTCTCATTCTGTCACTCAGACTGGAGTGCTATGGTGTGATCACGGCTTACTGCAACCTCAACCTCCTAGGTTCAAAGGCTCTTTGCACCCCAGCCTCCTGAGTAGTTAGGACTACAGGCACATGTCACCACACCTGGCTAACTTTAACATTTTTTTTATAGAGACAGGGGTCTTACTATGTTGCCTAGAATAGACTTGAACCTCTGGCTTCAAGCAATCCTCCTTAGGCCTCCCAAAGTGCTGGGATTACAGGTATGAGCCACCATACCCCGCCCTAGCAAACTATTCTTAAGATATGTGAAAAACCATTCAGTTGTAGCAAACATCATACACCAGAGACTTTGTTTGACATCAGATAAATCACATGGGTTAGAGAGCTTTTTGGTTTTTGGAGGTCAAGGAATCATTCATCATGAACTTCTATGTTTTAAACATATTTCTGAAAAATATTCCTGAAGTAGAAAAATTTTCTGTTATATAACACATAGTTTCTGGTACATGAGGGAATCCACAAAAAGAGGTAGCAGTAAACAGCGTTATAGAACTTCCAATTTAATATTTTTTTAGTCAAACAATTCAAACCCAGGAGACAGTTTAGGTGGTCAAACATGGTAAAGGTGCTAGGAGTGGTATATTTATTCACTTATCTCTTAAACATGCAAAGAAAATATTCCACAGCCACACCCTCGTCATAAACTCCAGCCTGGTCATTCAGTTGCTAAATCCAGTAGGAAAGATCAAGAGATGGTGGATGTTAACAAGTTATTGAGTACTGTCCCATGTTGGGAGACAGTTTCTGTCAAGGTGTTGACATGGATTCCTGAAAACTTCTAGGGATTAGGGACAGAGTATGAATTTGTAAATTGTGAATACCCACATGGCACTATAAAAAAAAAAAAAGGAAAGTAAATCCCCTATCCCTAACATCAGGTCATGTTCTGCCCTGATGGGGACCAGTAGAACTTGCCACAGCTGGGTACAGGGAAGGTGCTATGATTACAGCTGGCTCCAGAAGTACCTAGTGGTGGAAGTACTTGATCCAGGATAGAACATTTTAGATTTATTATTCACCAAACCACAACAGTCCACCACTAATATATGCACAGGGTCTCTTTACCCAGGTGAATGTCAAGTAGGGTGAGATGCGGACTCCCTTTTAAGGCATATGAGTGCTTTACCTGAAAACACAATAGGAGAGCAATGTATGATGGCCCACCTTTCTGGCCTATGGGTATTCATGAAATGATACCTGGTTAAGAATTGTCAACAGACTAAAATTACAATGTTTTTCCCCATCAGATGGCCCAGTCCACAAACTTAAAATGACCCGACCAAATAGATGTTGATTTCATTTACCCAAATGAGTGAGAATTTCTTTGGCAGATAGATGTCGTAATAAATATTGAAATTGCTGAGTATTTAGGCAATTGTGACACAAAAAAACACCCTGATTTCTGAGCAGTGACATGAATAGATTTTTGTAGGAAAAAGTATGCTTGTGGATGAGGGCAATAGAAGCTGGATAAAGGTAGGCTAGAATCCATTTTTAACATACATTCAAATGATTCTTATGTCCTCTAAAATTTGAGAATGACTGGACTAGAATATTAAGGAGCAATCATTTCTGCCTGGGACCAGATATGGGTCAGAATGAATGACCCCACCTACCCAAATGAAAGTGTCGGTGAAAGGCTTAGACTAAGTAAGTTGAAGATCACAGCTGCACTAATGTACATGAATATTCTTCTTAAGTGTTTCCTGATGTGGTGGCAATAGTCTTGTGCTCTTCAACAGAGTGTCCTGAGTTCTACGTCCTACATCAACTGAGGGTGTCAACTTGTGGAGGACTTATGTCCAAATCTCTTTTTCAATCTCTATAAAATGTAGCAGAGTTGTGCCACCTACATGAGCCAATGGAGAGGAAATCTCCTGGTATAATTTAAGTATTCAACAATATTAAATATCGAGTATTTGTCAATTGATGAAGTACTTCAAAAGCTTGATTCTCAGACCCCTTCTAAGATAGATTATTCCCTAGATTGTCTCATCCTGTTCTGAAAACTTCCAAATTTACATCTTTAGCTGAACTCCAGAACTCCAGGCTCCTATTCCAACTGCCTGTTTGGCATTTCCTCTTTGATGTCTAATTGACATCTTTAACTTAACAGATCCAAAACAAAACTATTAATCCCTCTTCCTAAACCTGTTCCTTTCAAGCCACTCCATTTCTAAAAGACCATCCTATGCTAGTTGCTCAGATCAATAACCATGGAGTCACCAGTAACCAACATTCAATTCAGTAAATCATGCAGGCCATGCCTTCAAAATATATGCAGAACCATTTCTCACTACCTCCATCACTTTTAAGCCTGTCCAAGCCACTATCATTCCTCATCTGGAATATTGTAATGGCCTCTTAATCTCTCTGCTTCTACTCTTACCCACCTTCAGACCGTTCTCAACAGGACAGCCAATGCGAACTAAAAATATAAGTCACAGAGCAAAACTCATGCAAGGTTTATGTTAGAATGGCTAAGGACAGACAGCAAAGAATTCACAGAATTTATAGGAACAGGTTTCTTGGCTTCTTTCATGTCTCATAGCTAACAAGTCTTTGAATATGTGGCAAGGGAAAAAAAAAAGTTAGATCATGTCATTCCTCTGTCCCCAAGCCCTCCATCTGTTATGCAGAGCAAATCCAAAGCCCTTACCATAGTCTACAAGGTCCTAAATATGCACCCTCTCCACCCCACTCCTGATTAAAGAATTTTGCTCCTTTGCTACCTATGGGAATACTCTTCCCCTAGATAGCCACATAGTTCAATTGCCCACTTCCTGTCTCTGCCCGCCCTGTCATCTGTAAAATAATCCCACCACCATCTCCCTCTCTCCCTTTACTACTACGTTCTGCATATTTATCATTGTCTCCCTTGACTTGAATGTAAACCCAATGGGGCAGACAGTTCATTTTCTTCACTACTGTATTGGCAGGGCCTGGAACAGTTAAGAGTAGGCACCCAAAACGTCTCTTCATATGCTGCTAATAAACCATAGCTGATCCTGGCTTTGAGGCTGGAAGACGCAGATCTGTGGAAGGAAAGATGATCTCTGCTCAGCAACCGGAGCTGGGGGTATAACTTCAGGGAGTCTCAGCCTGAGGCTGGCAGCCTGGCCATCCAGAGGCTAGGTCACTTTCCGCCCTAACCAAGCCCCCCGCCCACCTTCCACCTCTTCCAGCGCCCTCCTGACATTGGCTGAACTCGCCAAGCCCTCCCATCCAATGATAGGGCAAAGCCCGGGAGGGAGGCGGGGCCAGAGCGCCGGCGGACTGCGAGGGGCTTCCGAGGGGCGAGGGGACTCCGGCCCGCGGGCACAGAGATGTGAAAACCTCACGCAGCCTAGAAGGGCAGGAGGGGCAGGTGGGAGTTAGCTGGGAGTCGCTGACGCAGTTCCTTTTGCGCTTTGTTCAGGATGTGGGTCTGGCGCTTTCGATGAGGGGTGCTCCACAGCCTGGCGTGGGGGTTTGGGCCGGGTTCTGGGAGCGTGTGGGAGACGCAGGCCGGGAGGCCAGGGATCCTCTGCGGCTGCCCGCTGCTGACATGGACGCGGCAGCCAAGGGGTCGTTGCGGGCCTCCCTCTTCTCTCGTTATTGCTGCCCCTTTGTCTTGGGTCTGGTCTCCGACTCCTCGTAGCTGCTCGCTCGGATCAGACCGGCCGTAGTGACAGCACTGGGTCTTCCCCACTCCTAGGCAGCGGACCGTCCGGGTAATAGCGACCAGGCTCTCAGAGGACTCCACAGCCCCTGGGTATGTGACTCAGATCTCCAATCCAGTATCCCTCCCCGTACCAGTGAGGAACCTGGGGCCCAGAGAGGAGGGCGGAGTCTCGCCTAAGGTTACTGATTCATTCGTTCAACAAATATTTATTGAACACCAACCCAGTAGTGTGCTAGGTTCTGGGGTTACGGTTGTGTACAGGGCAGAATTAAATTCTGGTAGGGGAGAAATGGAACAAGCTTGAAGGGTTAGAAGCAGAGCCTGAGGATCTGGAGGGGGAAACACAAAACATATTTGAGGCTTATTAACCCTAAGAAATGGGTAAACAGAAAAAGAAATTCTTTTTCTAATGGTCCTTTAAAGTTTTCTTTCTTTCTGTCTCCCTGAAGACACTTGACCCAGCAGTTTTTCCTCTCATCCCCCTTGTGCAGACTTTCTGTGGAATGCTGGATTGCAAAGAAGTTCTCCATTGCATTGCATTTTGCCATTAGAGGAGAATACGGAAGCTTTTAGTTATCAATGGAGTGGATGAAAAGGGGAGGCTGTGGTGTGATGGAATGAGGATTCCCTGTAGACATAGAAGACTTCATCACTCACTAGCCATAGGAGCTTGGGCAAGTTGTTCAGTCCCTGGGAGCTTCATCCCCTCATCTTTACACTGGAAATGATCCTTCTTATTGCCCACAGTTCTATAGGAAGGGAAGTTACCCAAAGGTGGGACACTGCCCTGAGTGTCCACTTGGGATTCAGGTCTCAGAGAACTCAGTCATTTATATCTGTTTACAGTGACTCCAGACCCTCTTAGGAACTTCTTCACTGAACCCAAGGAGGAGATCAGGCAAGAGCTGTGCTGGGCAGATCCTTTGGATTGAGGCTGCTGTGCACAGGAACATGGGTGAGTCACTCCGTTCTCTCCTGGGCAGGTGAGGCCTAGATTGTGAAGTTAATCTGGGCACAGGAATCCTGCTTGTGAGCACCAGGGTTAAAAGGGAGCTTTTCTCAGTGGTTATTTATCAAATAGGAGAAAAGCACTGAAGTGGGTAGGGGGCCTCTGGACCTTGAGGAGTAGAGCTTTGTTTGAGATGGGAATACGGGTGATGTAATAGAACTCAAAATTGGGTGTCATGGGACTTGGATTTGAGTCCCAGCTCTCCTCTAAGTTCCAAGTTTTCCATCTGTACATTTGGATATAAGACTGGGAAGACTGGAAGGTTTCTTCCAACTCTGACATACTGAGAGTCTCTGAATAGTGGGACCAGGTCAGTCTCTTAGGGAATTTAGTCCCTGGGGTGGCTCTGTTGAGACAGAATTGCCAAGAATGCAAATTCACCATTATGGTGTTTCCCAGACAATATGAAGTACAAAAAGGACAAACTTGTAGAGAAGGGATGGTGGTAATGATGTGAGGATTTGACCCTCAGCATCTGTATGTGCACTCCAGGTGTTAGAATCTTAAACTTATTTAATTTACCATTTCAAATCAAACAACACCGACTGAGCCCTCTTTGCTCAGACACTGTGTGGTATCCACAGGCAAATCTCATGGGCTCTGCTCTCCGAGGGCGTAGAGCTTAATGCATACGTGTGAAGAGGGACACAGACATACACTCAAGCAATTCTAGTATAAGGCAAAGTCTATATTATAGATTTGTTGTGGTGTTTTTGGAAATACAGAAATTTTTATGTGTCAGATATATGAGCTTTTTCATATGGTGTTAGCCTTTGTTTTATAGTTGAGGCTTAGACCTTTCCCTGAGATCAACTAGTCCCTTGATATTTTCTTCTAATTCTTTGTTTTCTTTCAATGTTTACATTTCACTTATCCATCCCTTGAATTTATTTTCATGTATTTCTTCTTATTCCTTACTCCACTGCACCTAATCAGTAACCAAGGACTGTGTAACCATTGCTCAGAGGCACAGGCAGGTGATGCTAGTGAATTAAAGGAAGACAGCCTCCAAGTAAAGCCTCTCTTTCCTCCCTCCCTTCCTCCCTGCTTCTCCTCTCCTTCTCTTTCCCTCCCCCTCCCTCTCTCTCGGAATAAGACTCTACATTTTGTGGATTTTTTACAGCCTGAAATGGATGGTGGTCCTAGGAATAGAACACATACCTACCAGTCTCAGAGATTTGTGACTTAGAGATCTGCAAGGCCTATTGGTCCTCATGCATTCACTGGCTGTCTGAGATTTTGCTTTTGTGTACAGTTTCCTAGATTCCCTTAGTGTCTTACTGGCCCATGGCCTCTTGTTTTCCACCAAACTTCTCCAGCCAAGACCCTACTTCTTTAGAACCTGGAAATTCTAACAGGATTTCTGAGGGAATTTGCCATCCAGTCAGGTAGAGGGCAGCAAATAGGTTTCTTTTTTACCAAACTCTCCTCATTTGGCCCTCTTTGATCTCCTGTTTGGTCCTGCTTCCTCCTCAGCTCCTCTATCACCACCCTGGGCTTTCTCACAGTGATCACTGTGCATTTCTCTTTCTCCCTACCTGCCCTTTTGTGTTAGGCCATTCTTGTGTTGCTATACAGAAATGCCTGCAACTGGGTAAATTGTAAAGAGTTTAAATTGGCTTATGGTTCTGCAGGTTGTACTGGAAGCACGGTGCCAGTGTCTGTTCAGTTTCTGGGTAGGCCTCAGGAAGCTTTTATTCATGGTGGAAGGTGAAGTGGGAGGAGGCAGAACATGGTGAGAGCAGGAACGAGAGCAAGAGAGGAGATACCACACACTTTTAAACAACATGATCTGAGAACTTACTCACTGTCACAAGGACAGAGAACCAAGAGGATGGTGATACAATAAGCCATTCATGAGAAATCCACCCCCATGACCCAGTCACCTCCCAACAAGCCCACCTCCAACATCGAAGATTACATTTCATCTTGAGATTTGGAGGGCACATCTAAGTGATACCACTCTTCTAACCCAAATCTCTCTCTCAGTAAGCTTATGTGTTTTTTATTTTTAAAATTTATTTCTTTATTTTGAGACAAGTTCTGTCTCCCAGGCTGGAGTGTGGTGGCATGATCATGGCTCTCTGCAGCCTCGACCTTCCTCACCCTACCAAGCAGCTGGGACCACAGGCATGTGCCGCCACACCTGGCTCACTTTTTAAACATTTTTTTGCCCGGGCTGATCAAACATGTGGGCTCAGGCAGTCCTCCCACCTCAGCCTACCAAAGTGCTGTGATTATAGAAGTGAGCCACTGTGCCCAGCCCTCAGTAAGCTTATACATTTTCATGACTCCCTCTATCCTTTCTGTTTTATCATTCTTAAATTTGCCTTTGTGATACATTCTTCTTCCCCTTGTCTAAAATGTTTCTGCCTGTCTCCATCTTGCTTAGTTTCACTACCACACTTGGTATTCATACATGGATCTGATGACCTTGAATTGTTTCCTTCAGTCCATCCTCTATTTTCAAAGGATATATGGATGTGTGCATTATACATGTGGATGCGTTCCGGAAAATAGCAAGACTTCATCATTCTCTGTTCTCTCGTCTCAGATTAGGGTCTTGCTATCTTATTTATTTGTTCATTCATTCAACAAACATTTATTGGGTACCTACAACATGCCAGGCCCTCCAGTGTTCACCTATACTGCATTCCTATATTGTATCCTAATTCATTTCCCTTCCTCTTTTCTTTTTAATCTCCTCTAATCTATCTGGGCTAATACTCCTAAAGAGTTCTTTTCCTCATTTCGCTTTTGGGTAGAGTAATGCAAAATTTATTGTCCAAACTGGGATACTTTTGTGAGTTAAGGGGGCCACTATTAAATGTGACGCTGGGATAGTAGGCTTAACCTAGCACTAAGCTGGGAAAACCAGGATTTTTGATTGCCCCACTTGACATCTCTTGGATTCTTTACTTTCTGTTTCCCTCAATTTACTCCCCATGGATTATCCCAGCTGCCCCTCTCCTCTGTTTTCCATTTCATTAAGCTGAGAGAAACGTGCATGTTCTGGGAGGTGGTAGGAGAGGACCTAGGGGAAGTGCATGGCAATGCTTGAAAAACTATATTGCTAAGTGAGAAAAAGAGGGAAAATAAGAGTGGAGAATAGCAAGGTAGAAAAAAGAATATAGAATGGAGAAAGAAAATTAAGGATAGATTTCACTCCTCTCTTTAGAAATGGTTTCCCTTTGACCATCAGTTTATATTCATATTTTTCATCTTGTAATTTCAGTATTCTGGTTGGAATCACTTGAGGCAGCTTGATTCTTTCTTCATTTGTTCATTCAACAACAAAAAATGAGTGTTTACCATGTGCCTGGGACTGTTACAGTATTAGGAATACAGGGTAAGCAGGATGGACAAAATCCCTGTGTACTTGAAGCTTATATAATATTATGATCTTCTATTTATTTTTCATGCATACCAACCCTGTGCCTTTTTTTTTCTTTTTTAGAAAACACTGCTTATTATCTGGGCTCAGCCAAAATTCTGCCTTTTTAAAATGCTTTTCTCTTGCTTATAGCCATTACTGGAGATACTGAAAAAAAAAAATGCTTTTCTTCATCATTCCATACCCTGGTAATTGCTCCCTCTGTCCCCTAGTCCCCTGCATCTCCTGCTTGGGTAAATTGTAAATTTGAATTCTACTACTCCCTTGTAAGCTCTTTATAGGGAAGTATAATATTTCATGCTTTATTAGTCTGCTTGGGTTACCATAACAAAATTCCATAAACTGAGTGGCTCAAACATCAAAAACTTATTTTGTCATGGTTCTGGAGCCTAGACGTCTGAGATCCATGTGCCTGGCCATTTCAGTTTCTGGTAGGGGGCTCTCATCCTGGTTTGGAGCCAGCCATCTTTTTGCTATGTATTCTCATGGCCTTTGTGTGTATGTGTGTGGAGAGAGGGAAAGCATTTGAGAGAGCTTTCTTGTGTCTCTTTTTATGAGGACACTAATTCTTTTGGATCAGGGCCCACCCTCATGACCTCATTTAACCTTAATTACCTCCTTAGAGGCCCCATCTCCAAATACAGTCACGTTGCGGGTTAGAGCTTCAACATACAAATGTTAGGTGGGCACAAACATTCAGTCCATAACAATGCTTCTTTAAATTTTCCCTGTATTAGACCCATAATAGGGATGTATACAGAATAGAGTGCTCATTAGTTATGAGTTTAAGAAATATATGAATAAAAGAGAAGTTGCAGAGAAGATTAGAAATTGAAAAGAAATTCAGAAAAAACTATCAACTTTCTCACAGAACTCTGGAGGTGAGTTCACTTGCTCTCCTGCTCTGCACTGCAGTCCCCTGGCTTTGCACTGTTTTCTCCACCTGCTTCCATCCTATATGATTAGGAGAGGTAGCAGCAGCTGGATATGAGTGAGCCCAGGATCCTGCTAAGAATCCACCCTGCCTCACCATTGTCTCTTCCTACCCTTCATATCTTGGGCATGAGTTTGTGTGCATGTGCCTGTGTATGGAGTCAGTGGCCACCCACACTTCCGAGATGTGAACTTGAATATGTGCAGTTATCTTTGTGCTAGTCTCAAGTACCATGATTTGCTAGGTCCCTTCTCCAGAAAGTGGCTCCATTTATCAGAAGGCTATGGGACAAAAATCGGTCAAACTTTTTTTATTTTTTTTTTAAGACAAAGTCTTGCCCTATCACCCAGGCTGGAGTGCAGCAGCATAATCAGGGCTCACTGCAGCCTAGACCTCCTGGGCTCAAGCAATCCTCCGACTTCAGCCTCCTGAGTAGCTGGGACTACAGGTGCGCACCACCATGCCTAGCTAATTTTAAAATTTTTGTAGAGATATAGTCTCCCTGTCTTACCCTGGCTGGTCTCAAACTTTTGGGCTCAAGCGATTTTCCCACCTCAGCCTTCCAAAGTGCTGGGATTACAAACATGTGCTAAACATGTGCTCAGCCCATCAAAATTTTTTGAATAGCAGCAAGAAACACTGCACAATAGTTTCACTCCTTCTGACCCAATTAACTCATTTGTGGAACTTTTGTCCTAAGATTATATTTTAATAGGAAGAAAATTTTGTGTGTATAAGGAGATTATTGATAGTAGTTAACCTCAAGGAACAACAGAAGTATCTAACACTAGTGAAATGGTAGGTAAATTATAAGAAATTCAGTGCTTATATGAAGGTTAAATAGCAATGTGGAAAAACATGCATAAAAAATTAAGTGGAGGCTGGGCATGGTGGCTCACACCTGTAATCCCAGAACTTTGGGAGACCAAGGCAGGCACATCACCCGAGGTCAGGAGTTCAAGACCAGCCTGGCCAACATGGCAAAACCCATCTGTGCTTAAAAAATACAAAAATTAGCCAGGCCTGGTGGCAGATGCCTGTAATCCCAGTTACTCAGGAGGTTGAGTCAGGGAGGCAGAGGTTGTAGTAGCTGAGATTGCACCACTGCACTCTAGCTTGGGTGACAGAGCAAGACTCATCTCATATAAATAAATAAGTGAGGCAGGAATTAGGGAGATGTTTGTTGGTCAAAGGACACAAAATTTCTGTTAGATAGGAGGAATAAGTTGAGGAAATCTATTGCATAACATGGTAATTATAGTTAATATCAACATGTTTGTTGGTATTATGGCCAATATGCCTGTAATCCAAGCACTTTGGAGGTCAAGGCAGCCAGATCACCTGAGGTCGGGAGTTCAAGAAAATGGCCAATAGAATTTTTAAATGTTCTTACTATGAAAAAATATTAAGTATGTGAGACAATAGATATGTTAATTAGCTTGATTTACTTGTTCCATGTGTAAACACTTATCAAAACATGTATGCCATAAATATATATACTTTTTTATCCACTAAAAAATAAGTAAATGAAATGAACTCCAAGAAATAGGATACAAAGTAATATCTACCATATATTTAATTGTCTGGCAATACACATATGGACAAGTCCATAAAGGAGCATAGTAAAAGGAAAATTAGTCATGTGTCAGTATCATGTAGTTATCTTTTTGTTTCCTTTTACAGCCCAACTCCTTCTAAGGTCTGCTCTGGTTACCTATGTGTCCAGAGTTTCATGTCAAACCAGTTGGGAAATTCCTGCTTATGCTGATGTTTGGTTTCATGTATTGGCACCTCTTGGTTATGCTGTCCCTACTCTGATGCTTTTGCCATCCTGAAATACTTTATGCCATGCAAGATCCTATCAGAGTTTAATCTGCCATGGTTTAACTAACCTTCTTTCCCAATTTAGCCTCTCAGATTCACCCAGTAAGTAGTCTCAGTCTGTCAGAATGACAGCATGGTGAAAAGCAGACAGAGTAAACTTGCATATAAAACTGGATCCAGCTACAGGCTGGCCCCTGTAAAGTAGGCTATGATGTGACTGACTAGGCTATGAGGTGATATTGGAAGAATTGTGTTACCACTTAACAAGATAGGGCTTACATGCAAGGATATAGACTGGGATCTAGTACCTGGATTTTATACAATTCATTGCTTATTCTGATGCTGGACCTATTGGGCTCCCCTCAGCCCCTGGCTTTCCAAAGCCTTTACATTGGCCTCTAAGTTTAAGTTCATTTTTTTTCATCTTTTTGATCAGTTCCCCTGCCTGTGAACATTTAACCATTCCATATGTCTCCACATCTTATCCTTGGATAGTTCTCTTTCCTCTAGTACAGAGAATAGGTGACATGTGCAATTTCTGTTTCTCCTGTCAGATGGTGAAACTGGGACTGAGGAGGTGTTAATTCCAAAGCTTCATTCCTGAAAAATCAGAATCATATATACTTTCAAGAGAATTCCATAGAGACGTTGCCAAAGTCAAAATTTAGAAGGCTCCTCTGAAGGGAAAGAGAAAACTAGAGAGGACACTGGTATGTTCCAAGCAGGAGAAAATGAAGGGAAAGACAAGAAATTTCAAACATAAGACAGTTAAAGACAATAAAGTGCTCACAGAAGGGAGTAACCAAGAATCTGAAAAAGACAGTAGTCAATGCTGTGACCCTGCAATGAACGAGAGAGTTCAGGCTGAAAAGAGACAGTATGTATGTACTGAGTGTGGGAAAGCCTTTAGTCAGAGTGCAAACCTCACGGTACACGAGCGAATCCACACAGGAGAGAAACCCTATAAGTGTAAGGAGTGTGGAAAAGCCTTCAGCCATAGCTCTAACCTTGTTGTTCATCGGAGAATCCACACTGGACTGAAGCCCTATACATGCAGTGAATGTGGGAAATCTTTCAGTGGAAAGTCACATCTTATTCGGCACCAGGGAATCCACAGTGGGGAGAAAACTTATGAATGTAAAGAGTGTGGGAAAGCCTTTAGTCGGAGTTCAGGCCTTATATCACATCACAGAGTTCACACTGGAGAGAAGCCCTACACTTGTATTGAGTGTGGGAAAGCCTTTAGCCGTAGTTCAAACCTTACTCAACATCAACGAATGCACAGAGGAAAGAAGGTTTACAAGTGTAAGGAATGTGGGAAAACATGTGGTTCAAATACAAAGATTATGGACCATCAGAGAATTCACACTGGGGAGAAGGCTTATGAATGTGATGAGTGTGGAAAAGCTTTCATCTTAAGGAAGACCCTTAATGAACACCAGAGACTTCATCGTAGAGAGAAACCTTACAAATGTGATGAGTGTGGGAAGGCTTTTACTTCTAATCGAAACCTTGTTGATCATCAGAGAGTTCACACTGGAGAGAAACCCTACAAATGTAACGAATGTGGGAAAACCTTCAGGCAGACTTCTCAAGTTATTCTACATTTGAGAACTCACACTAAGGAGAAACCCTATAAATGTAGTGAGTGTGGGAAAGCCTATCGGTATAGCTCACAGCTTATTCAACACCAGAGAAAACATAATGAGGAGAAAGAAACCTCACAAATAACAAATATTGTGCATAGTAGGGCTGACTGCTGCTTTTCTAAAAATTATAAACCTTAACTCTACTTCTAAGAATCATACAGGGAAAATGATTAGAAGTAGACAAAGATTAAGGAAAGGGATGTTCATGCCAGCATCATATATGACTGAAAGAAGAAAACTAGATTTTCAACATTACAGGGTTGAACTGAATGATGGGATATCCATATGATGGTTCTGCAGCCTTTGTAAATATTTTTAAAGATGATTTAATGCCATGGGGAAATGATTTGGATAAGATGGAAGATAAAAGAAAAGAAAACAACAACATACAATCCAAAATTTTAGAAAATATTTATGCACAGGAAAAAATGGGAAGGAAGTAAACCAAGATGTTAACAGTAATCATCTCTGGGTCATAGGATTTTAGGTGATTTCTATTTTCTGCTGCATACTTTTCTATGCTTTCTAGATTTTCTACATGAGAATATACTAATTTTATATTCAAGAAAAAAAGTACAGTATTTTTAAGATGCAATGAAGACATGCCCATTTTCACTCATCAGTGTTATGAAAGGCAGATAGTGTATAGAGCCTGAAGTCTTGGGATTGCACTCTGACACTGGCATTTAGCAGCAGTGGAACCACGAGGGAGTCACTTCCTTTTAGAGCATGTTTCCTGTTTAGTAAAATCATAAGCACCGATTCTTTGTCTTTTTTAATTTTAAGGCAAGCTGACTTTAGAGTTGTCAACAAAATATGTAATAACACTGTTAGGTTACAAGAACACAGCAAAAATTCACTGAACCCTCCTTTCCCACAGTTGTGGAAGGATCTAAAGATGAAGGAGAACTACCTAGGCTTCATCTTTTCAATATATGTCTAGACAACCAGAAAAAAAATGAAATGGAAACAATTGTAGACTCAAAAACTTTAGATACAGTCACCAATTAATATGAAACTAGTGGGAGACTCTTGTCTTCACAGGTAGATAGAACTTAATGGCTAAAAGTACAAACTTGGGGTTGGAGAGATCCATGTTCTAACCCCAGTTCTGCCATGTACTATCTTGTCAGTTTTGGACAAATCACTTAACTGCTCTGAGCCTTAGACCTGTGTGTAAAAAAGGAATAGTTACCTACCTTACAGGGTTGTTGTGAGGACTAAATGAGTAATGCATGTAATACATGATAAGCCAGACACATGGTCAATGATAAAATCTTAAGTATAGGACATTGAAGCAGCGTTTCTATCCACTTTAGGGAGAGTGATTAAAGACAATTTTTGTGTAAGGTAGTACTTAGGATATTTTCAGATGTAATGAACAGAATATCAGGTACTAGCAGCCTAGACCTTAAGAATATTGATTGATTGCTTAAGGGGAAATCTCGAGGTAAGCAGTGCCATGTTTGGTTTGGTAACTCAGCACCTCATCAAACTTCTGTTTTAACTCCGTAATTTTCAGCATATTGGCTTTCATTTTTCATAACCTCATGGTGGCAAGACAGTGGCAACAGCTGCATCTTACCTTCACACAACTCCTTCAAATTCAGGAAGTGAAAAAAGAGCTGAGGCTTTCTCATCTGGTTTCTTCCTTTTGTCATTGAGAAAAATCTTTTCCTGAAGAAGGGAGCAAGGGGTGTTGAGCAATCAATACAACAGATGTTTTCTATCTTCCTCTGCCTTTCTTTATGACCAGCCCTCCTTGAAGGTCTTAGCCCATCTTCCACCAATATTTACAACATTTTAAGTGCTTAGCTCAAAGTCTTAAGAATTAAGCACTTAAAATGAGAACTTAATCTGAGAACACTTAGAATCTCTCCATTTTTAACTCAGCCATTCCCCTGTGTATACAGTGAATCCCTAAGGCCAGTGCCATCTGTCTTATGCACATAGTGAATTATTGTTTGGGGAATTTTTGATAATATGATAATATATGTTATGATTTTTGATAATATATTACAAGAAAGTTGAGTGTCAGTGAGGTTGGGTGACTGGCTAGTAAGTTGTCAGAGCCAGTATTGGAGCTCAGATCTGACTTTGAAATTCATGCTTTCTTCGTTATACCAAAGTGCCTCTGCCCACCATGGTGGATCTGTATGTGAGCTGGAGACCAGTTGAGGTTCTCCCGGGTAGCTGCCACAATGAAAGGTTATTGTATCTGACAATTAGTTAACTATGGTTTTATAGGGAAGATACTATCAGTGTTCTCTGAATGAGGTTTATGGCCTATCTCTGTACCTCGTAATTTAGTTTTAAGGCATATGTATTTCTTTCTTAGTGTTACTAGAAAGAAGTGAAGGGTGAAAATTGTATATTTGTGTGAAAAAAAATGACTGATTTTGGCCTATTTTGATAGGATAGTGGTTTGCACATCATTTGTGATGTAATAATCCTTCGCATGTTCATTCCAAACAGGGTTTGGAGGGCCTGGAGCAGATTTGTAGCATTCATGGGATAAGCCTGATATATCATTCTTGAATGGAATTGTTGATGCTTTCAATATTGCTGATCAGATATTCTCTGACCAAAACATTTTTTCATCACCATGTCATAGTGTCTAAAACTCATTCTTTAGATAGACTCTTTTTTGTTTTAGAAGACTTTGTGATCTTCAAAGAATATATCTTCTAGGAAGGATGTGATACCATCTCATACCCAGAGATCTGAATATAGCAGAGCTTTATATTTCTTGCCCCAAGCAAGTGAGGATTATAGTCCCTTGAGGATGCCCTCACCATCTTCTAGGCTAATACCTGCCTTGAGCTGTAAGAGTAAACATTTGACAACAGGTCCCTGCATCCTTTCAGATAAATATTCTGCTATAATTTGAACTGATCACCCACCTTTCTTCAGGAGTCTCCCAGGGCTACCAACTGTTACCTCAGTCAGAGTTTAGGCATGCAGCCCTTAACATCCTTTCAAGCCCTTTCATTATACCTTCTGGAAATCAGGAACTGTCTCTTCTTTTTTTTTTTTTTTTGAGACAGTCTTGCTCTGTCACCCATGCTGGAGTGCCGTGGCATGATCTCAGCTCATTGCAACCTTCACTTCCTGGGTTCAAGCAAGTCTCCTGCTTCAGCCTCCTGAGTAGCTGGGACTACAGATGCCCGCCACCACACCTAGCTAATTTTTGTATTTTTAGTAGAGTTGTATTTTGTATTTTAGAGATAGGCTGGTCTCGAACTCCTGACCTCAGGTGATCTGTCCGCCTCGGCCTCCCAAAGTGCTGGGATTATGGGGGTGAGCCACCACGCCCAGCCTTTTTTTTATTTTTTTTTTTTGAGATGAAGTTTTGCTCTTATCTCTCAGGCTGGAATGCAATGGTGTGATCTTGGCTCACTGCAACCTCCGCCTCCTGGGTTCAAGTGATTCTCCTGCCTCAGCCTCCTGAGTAGCTGGGATTACAGCCACCTGCCACCATGCCTGGCTAATTTTTTGTATTTTTAGTAGAGATGGGGTATCACCATGTTGGTCAGGCTGGTCTTGAATGAATGTCACATTCTTATTCTAATGGAAACCTGGCTGTTCCCCAAGGACAGTGCTTACTCGGCATTCCTCAGTTGCTACTTTTTGTGTCTCTCAACCTATGTACCTCTCTGTACTGCGATTTCTTCTATCTTTTCTATCAAATACTCAGCTCTAATCAGGCATGATTGCATACACCTGTAGTACTAGGTACTCAGGAGGCTGAGGTGGGAGAATCACTTGAGCCCGGAAGTTCACTGTTAAACTGAGCTATGGTCACAACTCTGTACAGTAGCCTAGGCCATGGAGCAAGACAGTCTCAAAAACAAAACTGAAAAAAACAAAACAAAAAAAACCACAAAAACCCAATTCAATGATTTTGAAATATACATCACTAAGCTACTGTGTATTGCCCATTCTTGTTATTTGTTTTCTGATCTACTCACATTTATTCACTTAGGGTTTTAGTACCCTGAATATTCCTGAGGAATGTAAAGAGGCAATAATTTTAGCCACAGATACCCTGGTTATATAGAATTGCTCCTGTGTAGAATAAAAACATATATGCTTTTTTCAGTTGAGAGGAAAATAAGAAAATCTCATTTTATATAGCCTTTATTAGATGGCAATATGTAAGACAGAATTCTGCTTAGAAAGGAAAGTGTCTCCCTGGACTTAGAAATCTTTTTTATAGATGGTGTGTCCTGTGTTAGGTCTTACTTGGAAGAAAATTGAAATAAACAGCTTTAAGTAGCTGAGCAATCAGTAGTAATTTTAGCTGTTGAATCTAAATCCCTCAAGACTAAATTTTATTGCAGCTCTGTACCCTCAGCAAGACTTCCTTTTCTGATTTTTTTCCATTCAATATAAAATTTAGAAGTTCCCCATATTGTCAGGTTGTTTTTAGTCACCAGACTGTCTTTAATCCCCTTTGATATTATAAAACTGGAGTCATGAAATTGTTTTCACAGGAAATAGTGATAATTTCTTCAATAAACATCACTATTCTTATAAAAATCACTCATATTTTTTTCTTTCTGCTTCCTTTCTTTGTTCAGAGTGGGAAAAATAGTTCAATCTGCTTTTCTTTAAATAACCATACTAGTCAGGGTACTTTCTTCAGAGGGACAGAATAAATAGGAAATATATATATGCACACACACATATATGTATACATATATAAATATATATGTATATATACATAGATATACATATACACAAAATCACTTATATATATATGTATATGTATATATGTATATCTATGTATGTATACATAGATATGTACATATACATATACATATATATAAGTGATTTTACTAGGGAGACTTGGCTCAAAGCAAAGTCCTACCATAGGCCATCTACAAGCTGGCAAAAGGGAGAAGCTGGTAGTGTGGCTCAGTCCAAGTCTGAAAGACTCAAAATGAAGGAAGCTAATAGTGCAGCTTTGGTCAGAGGCCAGAGGCACGAGACTCCCTGGGAGGCTGCTGGTGCAAGTCCCAGAGTCCAAAGATGGAAAAACCTAGAAAGTCCAAGGGCAGGAAGAGAGGAAACAAAGTGTCTGGCATGGGAAGGGAGAGACAGGAGACTCTGCAAGCTTCTTATCCCTCTTCTTG